GTGAATAGGATCCAGCCTTGTTTGATACCACTTAGATTCAGAAGTGAGTCCGCCAGGATCCCATTCTGATTTTAACAGTTGAAAAATGATTCAGGGCCTGAAGAGGACCCAGGAGTGATTTCAAGCTTACTCCCAGGTTGGGGCTGTAGGTGGGCCTAATTGATGAAATCAGCTTCACATTTCTCTTAATGGCTCTCTCGATAAAGGGAAGCAGAGTAGCAATGATCTGTGCTGGAATAACTGTCATAGAACCTCAGCAGCCAAAAGCCAGGTTTGGAGGCCTGGCCATGGGTCTAAGGGCAAAAAACTGGAGCTGACCTCCCAGGCCTGGCCATCAGGATGATGGGCAGCAAGTACAGCAGCAGAGGTTTCCCCTTTGGACATTGGTTGAGCTACATACTGTGCTGGTCCTGGGAGACCTGTCTCTGAGTGTGGCAGGATGCTGGTAAGAATTGGGCCCTCCCTGGGCACCTGGGTGGCTCAGTCAGTTAAGCATCTGCCTTCGATTCAGGTCATGATCCCGGGGTCCTGGGATCTAGTCCTGCGTTGGGCTCCCCGCTCAAGGGGGGGAGTCTGCTTCTCCCTCTCCCTCTGCCTGCCACTCTGCCTACTTGTGCTCTCTCTATCTCTCTGTCAAATAAATAAAAACAAAGAATAAAATTATCATTTCTGAGGGCAGGATCTTCATTTTTCAGATACCACTTACCATAATTGGAACTAAGTTCCTTTGGGTGGGGGGTGTATCTGTGCTGTGTCATGTATTATTGATTTCTTCTACTTTTAAGACTGAACGTTCTTCACGCTCCGAAAGGAAAAGAAGAGACTCATTCGGGATGTTTGACGGTTATGATAGCTGCAGTGAGGACACGAGTAGCAGCTCCAGCTCTGAGGAGAGTGAAGAAGAAGTTGCTCCTTTACCTTCTAACCTCCCAATTATCAAAAACAATGGACAAGTGTACACATACCCAGATGGTAAATCTGGCATGGGTGAGTATTTACAGCCTTCCGCTGTTATTCAGCTTCATGTTGGAGGTTATGTTTTAGTTCCATTTCTTCTGTCATTTCCCTTCCTTAGAATTTTTCAAGGAATAAAGAAACGCAGTCTGAAACTTAAGAGTTGTAGATAAGACCATTAGATTTCTGTTTGATCTCTTTATCTTGCCTACCTGCTGTATTCTGGCGGAGGGCAAGTAGAACAAAATAAAAACAAAAGGCTATTGAGAAACATAATGTTGGACATAAATTCAGTCATTAGATAGTAAATCCCTGTGTAACTGTGGGTAGGATCGGGGGCTTGTAGAGTTGACAGGCACTTGCAGGGTAAGTCTCTGTCCTCTACAAAAATTCCTCATGGGAAGTTTTCTGTTTTAACACTTCCAGTGATAACGTATCTGTAATTACCAGAATATCCTTTAGATTGGACCAAAATTACCCATGCTCTAAATTTTGTCTTTGGGTCTTAATTGTGTCTTTTAAAGGTACCCAGAATAATTCTAATCCTTGTTACAATGATCTCCCTTCACACTAGAACACTCTGAGTAACTCTAGTTGCTTCGGTCATTTCTTGTAGTATCACAGTGATTTTAATTCCTGAATATATCCTGCTCCCCGTCTTCCGGGCATACTTTGGATTACATGGTAGTAAGGTGACAGCTTGTCCTAACTTGCCCAAGACTGTCCTGTTTTTAGGATTGAAAGTCCCATCTCCTGGAAAGCACCTCAGGCTGGTAGTTGGTCACCTGTGTGATTAGGGCAGAAGGTAATTCCACCTTCATCTCTTTTTTTCAGGACACTGTGTTTCCACTCATGCTACACAGTTGCTTTAGCTTTTTTGAAAATAATACTGATTTTGCATATAGCTGAAATTCTTTAATCTTTTCTACAGCTTTACCAGTAAACCAATTAAACCAGTTTCGTGCATTGGCAGTTGACTTTTTTTTTTTTTTTTTTTTAAGATTTTTAAGAAATCTCTCCTCCCAGCTTGGGGCTTGAATTTAGAACCCCAAGATCAAGAGTCACATGCTCCACCAACTGAGCTAGCCAGGCACCCCAACTTTGTTTTTTAATATATGAGGCTGATTTGAATATACTTTTAGGAACAGCACAAGCAAGGGCTATGGGAGCAGGAAGGGCAGGTGATGAATTCTCCCTGGGTCCAACCAGAGAGGGCTTCACAGGGCAGGCAGCCTTTGAGCTGGCTTTGAAGGACAAAGGTGGAAGGTGTGGGAGAAGCCTGTGGAAGAAGGGAACTGTTGTAGCAGAGGTTGGTAGGTAGGACTTTGAAGGAGTAACGCTCAGCCATTCAGCTGTGGCAGGCACATGGGTGACTAACCACAAGAAACATCGCTCAGAGATGAAAGATTTGGAAATACAACCATCTGGGGGACTGCAGTGTCTGAGAACATAGTTTTAAATCAGTCAGTGCTCACTGAGGGCCTCCCACAGGGTCCTGGCTTCTAGTTACTTGCTGTCAGCAAAGAGGCTTCCTATTGGCAAAAGCTGAAGGACACACTCCCACTTCACTTGGGAGCCAGACAGGGTCATCTCCAAGGACATCACAAAGACTAGGGCACAGGGGAAAGAAGGTGGAAAAGGCAGATTTGGAGTTAAATTTTTGGCCCTGAGCGGGCTTCTGACCCACGGAGCCTGTTTTTCTGTCTGTACAGTTGGGATGTGGTTACCTGCTAGGCAGGGTGGCCTGAAGCCAAGGGTGACAGGAAGTATCCCCAGAAGCCCCGGCTGGGGCTACATACACCAGAGATGCTTGAGAACACTGAATGTGAATAGGATCCAGCCTTGTTTGATACCACTTAGATTCAGAAGTGAGTCCGCCAGGATCCCATTCTGATTTTAACAGTTGAAAAATGATTCAGGGCCTGAAGAGGACCCAGGAGTGATTTCAAGCTTACTCCCAGGTTGGGGCTGTAGGTGGGCCTAATTGATGAAATCAGCTTCACATTTCTCTTAATGGCTCTCTCGATAAAGGGAAGCAGAGTAGCAATGATCTGTGCTGGAATAACTGTCATAGAACCTCAGCAGCCAAAAGCCAGGTTTGGAGGCCTGGCCATGGGTCTAAGGGCAAAAAACTGGAGCTGACCTCCCAGGCCTGGCCATCAGGATGATGGGCAGCAAGTACAGCAGCAGAGGTTTCCCCTTTGGACATTGGTTGAGCTACATACTGTGCTGGTCCTGGGAGACCTGTCTCTGAGTGTGGCAGGATGCTGGTAAGAATTGGGCCCTCCCTGGGCACCTGGGTGGCTCAGTCAGTTAAGCATCTGCCTTCGATTCAGGTCATGATCCCGGGGTCCTGGGATCTAGTCCTGCGTTGGGCTCCCCGCTCAAGGGGGGGAGTCTGCTTCTCCCTCTCCCTCTGCCTGCCACTCTGCCTACTTGTGCTCTCTCTATCTCTCTGTCAAATAAATAAAATCTTAAAAAAAAAAAAAAGAATTGGGCCCTCCCTCAGTCCCCAAAGGACAAGCTCTGGATTTGGAGACAAAAGCTTCTGGGGGCTTTCCTTTTGAGACTTGCCAAGTTCTAGCCCCTTTCCAGCTGCAGTTGTTTTTTGTTTTGTTTGTTTGTTTAAGATTTTATTTACTTATTTATTTGAGAAAGAGCACACGTACGAGTCGGGAAGAGGGAGGAGCAGAGGGAGAAGGAGAAGCAGATGCACTACTGAGCAGGGAGCCCACCATGGGGCTCAATCCCAGGACCCTGGGATCGTGACCTGAGTCAAAGGCAGCTGCTTAACCAACTGAGCCACCCAGGCACCCCTGCAGTTGGTTTTTTAAATCCAAGGTTTAAGACTTTATTCCAGGGGCGCTTGGGTGGCTCAGTCATTTGAGCATCTAACTCTTCATTTCGGCTCAGGTCATGAGATCGAGCCCCGAGTCTAGCCTGCTTAAGATTCTCTCTCCCTCCCCCCTCCCCCACCTCCCAAATAAATAAATAAATAAATTCACATAACCTTTTTCTTACTAAATTTTGGTCTTAGAAATTTTTTATTTCTGGGGCACCTGGGTGGCTCAGTCGTTAAGCGTCTGCCTTCGGCTCAGGTCATGATCCCAAGGTCCTGGGATCGAGCTCAGCATGGGGCTCCCTGCTCCGTGGGAGACCTGCTTCTCTCTCTCCCACTCCCCCTGCTTGTGTTCCTTCTCTTACTGTGTCTCTCTCTATCAAATAAATAAATAAAATCTTTAAAAAAATTTTTTTTATTTCTAATTTTGTCATTTAATGTGAAGGTTGTTTTGCATAATATTCTAGTTTTATGCCATTTGCAGATTTGAGGATAATGCCCTGTAGGTCATATTCTAGTCCTTTGATTAAAAAGTTGAATAGCACAGGGCCTGGTACAGAGTCCTACAGGCCGTATCAAAAAACTCCCCATCACTGGGGCGCCTAGCGGGCTCATTTGGAAGAGCACTTGACTCTTGATCTCAGTGCCATGAGTTTGAGCCCCACATTGAGTGTAGAGATTACTGAAAAATAAAGTTAAAAAAAAAAACTGGGGGTACCTGGCTGGCTCAGTCGGTAGAGCATGCAACTCTTGATCTTGGGGTTGTAGGTTCAAGGTCCACACTGGGTGTAGAGATTACTTAAAAAATCTTTAAAAAGTGGGGCGCCTGGGTGGCTCAGTTGGTTGGGCGACTGCCTTCGGCTCAGGTCATGATCCCAAGGTCCTGGGATCGAGCCCCGCATCGGGCTCCCTGCTCGGCGGGAAGCCTGCTTCTCCCTCTCCCACTCCCCCTGCTTGTGTTCCCTCTCTCTCTGTCTCTCTCTCTTTCTGTCGATTAGATAAGTAAAATCTTTAAAAAAAAAAATTTTTTTTTCATTAAAAAAAATCTTAGAAAAGAGAAAAAACTTCTGTCATTTATCAGGACCCACTATGTGTGGTCATCCAGTCAGTTAAAACTTCTACTTCACCTTAAATTTCTCAATCATTGACAAAGCCGCATGAGAGATTTTATCAAATGTGTTAACTCCTTGAAAAAAAAAAAAAACAGCTTCTATTAATATACAGTCGACCCTCGAACAACACAGATTAGGAGTGCTAATCCCCCACACAGTCAAGTTCATGTGTAACTTTTGACTCCCCAAAAAGTTAATTACTAATAGCCTACTGTTGACCAGAAGCCTTACTGATAACATTAACAGTTAACACATATTGTGTATGTTTTTTATATTATATAATATATTTTTGCATTAAAGTAAGCTAGAGAAAAGAAAGTATTTTCAGGACGATCCTAAGAAAAGAGAAGATACGTTTACAGTACCATATCATATTTATTGAAAAAAATCCACATAGATGGACCCATACAGTTCAAACCCATGTTGTTCAAGGGTCTACTCTATACTCTCGCCATGGTTCAGTTATAACAGTTCAGTAATATTACCACAAAAGGAAATAAGGTTTATTGAAACTTTATATGTGCCCAGGTCTATTTTAAATACTAGAGATGCAGAGAGAAACAATATAGAATAGTCCCTAACCTGGTGGAGCTTACACCCTAGTAATGGGAATTATAGTTTGATATGTATAATTCTTGACAAAGATTCCCTTGGGATCACAACTTCCTTACCTAGATGGTCACAGACCTTTTTAATTATCTGTTCTGTAATTTTTTCAACAGGAAACCATACAGTTTTTTCTCTCCTTAAACACCCTTTCTTCATCCCTAATCCTGTGGTACCATATCTTTCTTCCATGATTTCTCAATAAATTTATAAGTACTGGTTAAACTACCTCCAGGTTAGCTGTTTTTGTGGAGATTTGAACCCACTCAGGCAGTTGTTTGCTATGTTACTTTCTGGATTTTTTTTTCCCCCCTCTTTGGAGGAATAAATGACAAATACGGTTGTATGTATTTAACATGTACAATGTGATGATTTGATATATGTATGTATGTTCTGGAATGATTACCAAGATCAAGATAAGTAACCTGTCCATTGCTTCACATAATTAGCTCTCCTTTCGTGTGTAGGATCATGGAAAAGAGCACAGTATCTACTCCCAGCAGCTTTCTAATATGCAGTACAGTATTATTAACTGCACTTACCATGCTGTATGTTAGATCTTCACAGTTTACTCTTCTTATAACTGAAACTTTGTACCCTTTGACCTACATGTCATCCTCCCCCCCAGCCTCTGGCAGTCACCATTCTATTTTCTGTTTCTATGAAATTGGCTTTTTTTTTTTAGGCTTCCACATGTAAATGATCCCATACACTATTTCACTTAGCATATGCTCTCCGGGTTTAACCATGTTGTCACAAATGGCAGGATTTCCTTCTTTTTTTGTGAATGAGTAATATTCCATTACAATGACCCTTCTTCTAATTCTGCCTTTCAGATTATTGTCCAGTATGCAAATTTACAAAAGAGGCACATTTAGTAGTCAGAGTCTTGTTTTCCTCTGTTACCAAATGGAATAATCAAGCACCTTCCTCAAGCTTTGAGCCTGTCCTTCTTGTCCTCTGAACATAACTTGAAAGAACCTGTTACCCTTAGCATTTTTCCAAGACTTGGCTCTTTCTAGGTTGCACTTTGTGTTAATCCTCAGTTGCGTTGCACTTCTTTTCATCTTTTGTTTATAATCCATTCAGAAAGTTAGAGCTCTTAGTGTATGTGAAAATGCCTGGCACATGGCAAGCACTAAGGACATGTAAGTGGAATCTGCTTTATATTTGCTCGTGGGTTTAGACCCTTGTAAAGCCTGTTAGACCTTGAGCTATGGTCAGACTTTCTGGAACTGTAGCCATGGCATCGTACCAGTCTTTTCTCTAACTGTTGTCGAGGCTTTTCCATCATTTGGGTAACAGAAGACATTTTCTGTCTCATGTTTAAATTCAAACCTTTAGATAATAATTTATTAAAACTGTTAGTTAAAAAAATGGGTTTTATTTTATGATCATGACACCACTGTTTCTGTTTTCTTAATTAGCTACCTGCGAAATGTGTGGGATGGTTGGTGTGCGAGATGCTTTTTACTCCAAAACAAAGCGTTTCTGTAGCGTTTCATGTTCGCGAAGCTATTCGTCAAACTCCAAGAAGGCCAGCATTTTGGCCAGACTTCAGGTAACGGTACAGAAACCTTCTTGTTCTTTATGTCTGCTGTTTCTATGGCTTTCACTGTTTATCTGTCATTTGATCGTGATTCACTGCACTCCACTTCTACCCAGTTGGCCAGTTACCACTTTATACCTATTTTTTTTTTTTTAAATACGTGGTCCCCAGAGTTTGCTCAGTCTATAAAATTGAACAGCTATTATAAACAGACAAGGCATACTCTCCAAACTGTATAAGTGAAAGAAAAATATATACTCTTTTTCTGAATAAGTATAAATATAATAAACACCTCGTTATATACAGAAACTGAAGCCATTTTTCCCCCTTGTTTTCTTTTGAGTTAACATCAAGGTAGAATCATTCAATATTTGGGGGGAAATGGTTTACCCTTTGGTATTATCTCTCCATCATCTTTGCTTTGTACTTTTGATTGCAACCTATTTGATACCTTGAACAAATGTGTTTGGTTAATCCAACTAACCTTTTTGAAAACGTTCATGGTATAAAAAGAAATTCATCTTTCTTTAAATGTACATCAGTGCCTACAAAATGGAGATTTGATCATTTGACTAAGTTGTTACCATTGTAGCATATAAACAATGTTTTTAAGGCATTTTAAGTGACTTCTGTAATATATTTGATCACATTTTTCTTACTCTCCTTTTAACTTATTGTGATCATTACATAGCACTGAAAGGATAATATAAATTCCCCAAATTAAGGAAATACATCACTTAGATGTATTTCTATATTTCAGATAGACAGTACGTAAGATCCTGAGCAGTGGTCTGTACCCAAATGGATGGCAGTTTGTCACACTGTGAATTTGGCCCATGATCATTTTGTCATTGATCTTTTGCGTTAGCACTAAAGGTATAAACCTCAGTCACTTGCTCTTTAAACATTAAATTATCTTCTCTTACCATAAAAATAGCAATGCTTGGCAACCTGCATGAGTGAATAACCACTGGTTTTATCTAGTATAAGAAGGAATCAAGTATCCACCACAGCCTATATTTTAACATTATGGGGTATAATTTTTTTATTAACATATTAATTTGCATATTGCTGTTTTAGTCTGTGCCAGCCCTGCTACCCATGTTAGACATCTACACTGTAGCAGGACTCCAAAACCATCTCTCACATTAAAAGTCCTTGTCTGTTTTCTCTGCTTTAATAATTTTCTAAACCCTTGGTGTTACTTAAGCAGAATGGGTAGTATGCAGTCAGGTTAATTTTTTCGGTGGAGGGGGGTGGATGAAAAAGAATCCTATTTACTTAACTCTTCTTGTTTTAGGGTAAGCCTCCAACAAAGAAAGCAAAAGTTCTTCAGAAACAACCTTTAGTTGCTAAACTAGCTGCATATGCTCAGTATCAAGCTACCTTGCAAAATCAAGCAAAGACTAAAGCAGGTAATATCGGTGAATGTAATAGAGGTGAAATATTGGATACTGATTCATGTAGTTTGAGTTAATGACATTTTAATTTTGGGTTTTGTTAACTAAGCTATTTCTAGGTTCTACTAGTACAGTATGACATTAGGCTTCCTGATGATGGTTTTAGTTTCAATAATTCTAGAAGAGAGTTGTTGTGTTCACAAGTTAACAGTGCTTGGGGTAGTACCCCTAACATTTTTTATTTGGCTTATTATTTTCTGTGTACGGGTTCTGTGTGCTGTGGATGGTGGGGAGCATTGTGGGGATAAAAAGCAAAGAAATAGGACATTTAGCAAGCTTTGTAGGGAGAAGAGAGTAGTAAGAGGAAGAGATTGAGGAAAGGATCATTTCTAATAGAAGATTCTTGACAGGAGAGCAGAAGCAGGGAGATGTAGCCGGAAGTAAAGCAATGAAAAACCCTCCTGAAGGTATCAGTAGCAGATACTGGCTAGAAATCTGTTTGAGGTGCCCAGTAAAAGCTGTGTGGGAATAAAAACCCAAAAGCCAGCCATGGCATTCTTTGTTATCCTGAACACTTATGTTCTCCGCTGTTCTTTGCTGCTCATTACTGAAGAGCTCTTTCTTACTTCACTTCCCAAGCAGCAACACAAACTATTTGTTTGCAGATATGATCTATGCAAAAGTTCATGTTTATTTAGAAAAGTTCTTAAATCTGTACAGGAAAAAAGAAAACTTCCTTTCAAGGTGATAAGTTAATTTTATATCATTTCACATTTTCATGTCAGCGAAAGGTTTGAGAATTGGAATATACCTAAATTTATTTGTTTTCAGCAGCAGTCTCCATGGAAGGCTTCAGCTGGGGTAACTACATCAATAGCAATAGCTTTACAGCAGCTCCAGTTACCTGCTTTAAACATGTGAGTATGGAATTTTTCACCTCCTATTGAAATGCTTAGTCATTGTTTAAAGCTGAAGACACAATAACACCTAAGTGTCTTGTCTTTAGAAGATCTTTATTTTGTACAATGTCATAAAAATGTTTCTTTTTTATTATACTTATTAGTAATAAAAAACAATGTCTAGAAGTTCTACAAGTAAAAGCATCCTTTAAAGAAATTATAATTTGAAATTATTCGAATAGGGAAAAATACTAGTCTACTCCAATTTTCATACTAAGCTGAACTATATACAGTTTGCTGGTTTTGTATATCATGTGTATTGGCAGTGTCATATGGTCCAATGTAATACAAACCATCCATCGTGCATGTTACCTAAATCTTTGTGATCTGACCTGATAATTCGGAAAAGGAAGCCTCTTTCTTCCAGTTATGTTTTGTCTACAAAGGTAAAATCACAAAAACAAGGAACTATAAGTAATAACAGCATTGTGGGCTGAAATATGTGATACATACTGGAAAACCCTTTGCAGGATGTTCTTTTTGGCAAGTAGATTCTTACGGAGTATGTGAAGTAATTCAGAATTATGTTAAAAATGTTATCAGAAGATAAGTTTGGGGGCGCCTGGGTGGCTCAAGTCACTGGGCGTCTGCCTTCGGCTCGGGTTGTGATCCCGGGGTCCTGGGATCGAGCCCCGCATCGGGCTCCCTGCTTGGCGGGAAGCCTGCTTCTCCCTCTCCCACTCCCCCTGCTTGTGTTCCCTCTCTCACTGTCTCTCTCTCAAATAAAATTAAAAAATCTTTAAAAAAGAAGATAAGTTTGTTCCTTTTGATCCTGTTCCTTTTTGTTCAGTGATCTGTGATTAATTCTCTCCAATACTTTTTTGACCTTACTATGCATTTAATTTATGTTTAAAGGTTCTGCCTGCTATTAAAAAAAAACTTCTATCTGCTACTGACTATGTACAAAAAGAAAAGAGAATTTAGAAAATTAATGAATGAAATTTTGCTTACACTAAACATTTTGTTAAGTTAGGACTAATTTACTTTTAAATAACAGCATGTGGACAAAACTGAGCTTGAGTTCTTGCTGTGGAAACCCAAATGATTTCATTTGTTTACAGCCAATACAGACTCTTGATCAAGGCCAAGCATATGAAATCAGTGGTAAGAATGTAAACTAAAGCTGAGTTCATTAATTTGCTAGTTTTCTTTCCTGAAAGTACAGCTGTTCAGCCCCTTTGTTGGTGGCATGCTGACTCTCTGCAGCAGCCTAAAAGGGATCCTAGAGACTTTACTCAGTGTGTAAAGTAGGTGATGTACTTCACCATAAGGTGGATAGTAGTGTTACGTTTGTGAAATAGATTAAATAAATACACAGCAACAGCAACATTAAAGAGAACTGCAAAGCAGATCTTTCTCTTTCTCTCTCTAGTTCTTTCTGCTTTTGAGAAACTCAAACTCAGATTAAGTTCTCAGTTACAATAACTCTTTCATCCCAGATACCTGGAACATTTGTTGTCTCTTCTGAATAGCCTTTATCTCTTTTCCTGTCTTTAATATTCTGGGTTTTTTTTTATATTTTGATACCATAAACCATGTAAAGCTGTGTTATGTAAGTAGTCAAGGTATTTTTTTAAAAAACATTTCAGAATCCCAAAAGCATATTTTATTTCATGTCCGGTATATTAAAGTTCTCTGTAAGAAAATCTCTGTTATAATAATGAAACTGATTTTGTTTTCAACAAGGCCCTGCCTTGTTTCATCCATCTTGTAGTCTTCTAAGACTCAGACTGCCTGCCCTAACACTGGTTCATCAGTAAGGCCCACTTCCGCCAGACTCCACATCTGCCTTGTCTCCAACTTGAGCACAGGTTGGGGGCCTTTTCCTGCTCATAGGGGATTCTTTTTCAAACATAATTTTAAGAAACATCCAATGTGTAACATGGAAGCAGAATTACTCTGATTGAACCAAGAATTGGGGTTGGGAGCAGTGTCAGAGCCCTGAGTGCCTTGCTTCTTTAACGTAACCCAGCTTCTTCTGGAGTAAGGATCACAGGTAAACAAACACTTTATATTTCTCGGCACTTAAGTATGATTGTGATTAGTTCTAAAATCACAGGATTTCAGGAGTGGAGCTCTTTTTTTCCCCACAGTCTATCTTTAAACTTCTGGGAATGAAGTTTCTGCAAAGTATATCATAGGACTGTGTCCTCTTTGATAGTTGCTGTAATTATGCACAGTGCTTCCTGCTCAGTCACTCAGTTACAGCAATGTTGACTTTTTTTTTATAATTAGCAAAGGAAATTGAGCCTCAACTGTTATTAAATTACCTACTTCAAATCTGTATGTCATGATTGTCGTGTATCTAGTATATCTTTTATTTTGTCTAGGTGGTAGTTTGGTAGTTTTGAGAGTTTTTTTTTTGGGGGGTTTTGGTTTTTTGGGGTTAATTTGTGTAAGCTTCAGAATTATTACTCTTTTACCTAATAGACGTAGTTAGGATAAGAGGAAGCTGCACTGATTGATCTAGCAAGGGTGGGGTGGCCAGAGCCTTGGCCCCTGATCCTTGGCTTCCCCTTCCTTGGCCGTCTTGGAAGTTGGAAACCACTGAATTAAGTAATAACACTTTTAATTAATCCTAAATCATACAGTGACAAAACTGTAAAGTATCTTAAAAATCATGTAGTTCATCTAGTCCATCTCTTGTTGTAAATGAAACTCTTGCTACTTTTTTCAGTAGCCGGATTATATTCCAGTTTTGGGCTTTAACCTGCTTTCCATAATTTAAAGTTTTGGGTTTTTTTTTTTAATGTAGTTTTTAATTAAGCCCCCATAGGAAAAATGTTCCTGTGCTTCTTTTACTCATACACCGCTCCCACACAATATTTCTGACACCAGATGTGCAGGTTTTCCACACATCAAGTAATTCTTTAACACCAGCTGGGTGTCTGACAATTCAACTCCATTTTGACACTGTCTACCTGGAGTTAGCATCATGTCCCTCAGGTTAAGGGCTCAGCCACACAAGACTAGCCCCACTTCAGATACCAGTCAGAAGTCCCAGTTGTTACCTATGCTTAAGACCAACTGGCTGTAAATCAGGGTTCCCATGACCTCCTTGGGTTCAATAATTTGCTAGAATGGCTTACAGAACTGAGGAAAACATTTGCCAGTTTATTATAAAGGGTATAATAAACAATACAGGTGAACAGCCATATGAAAAGATATGTAAGGCAAGGTTGTGAGAAGGGGCATGGAACTTAACGCCCCCTCTGGGTGTGCCACTCTCCTAGCACCCCCATGTGATCACCAGCCCAGAAGCTCTCTGAACCCCGTATACAGATTTCCCTCATTATCCGAAAGTCCACTTTACACCACTTCACTTTTACGAAAGGCCTGCATTAGTACCTGTTTTCACTAACCAAAAGAAATCAGAAACAGATTTTTGCTTTCAGGAAATAAAAACTGCTTCCTCACCTTATGCCATTTTAGCTTACAAAAGGTTTTATGGTTATAGTTACGATTTTATCTACTTTCGGATGGCAGGGGAAGCCTATATTTTGGGATTTTGATGAAGGCTTCATCGTATAGGCATGATCAATCATGAACTCCACACCCTCTCCCTTTCCCAGGAGGATGGGGACTGGGGCTGAGGGTTCTAAGCTTCTACTCATAGGCTGGTCTTTCTGGTGACCAGCCCCCATCCTGAGGCTATATAGGAGCCCACCCAGAGTCTCCTCATTAGAACAACAGATGCTTCTATCATTTAAGAGATTCCAAAGGATTGAGGAGCTCTGTGTCAGGACCCGGCTCAGAGACCAAATATGAGAACAAAAGATGCTCCTAGTGCTCTTATCACTTAAGAAATTACAAAGGTTTTAAGAGCTCTGTGCCAGGAACCAGGGGCAGAGACTGATATATATATCAGACTGAAATAGATATTTCTATTTTTTTCTATTTTTTATATATATTTTCATATTTTTTTCACAACCTCTAGCAGCAGTATCCATATCTATCCTAACTATGGAAAAATCAAAAATATTAACTGCAGTACCAATGCCAGTTAGGTACACTGTATACATGAAATTCACAGGTGATTTTCTTCTAGTAATTTATGTTTGAACCCAAGAGAGCCTCCAGTTGATCAATGTGTATGCAGAACATCGAGCTTTAAAGCATTCTTCATTTTTTTGAAAGACCTTAGTCTTTTTATTTTTTTTAAGATTTTATTTTATTCATTTATTTTAGAGAGAGAGAGAGCACAAGTGGGGGGAGGCGTTGAGAGGGAGTGGGAAAGAATCTCAAGCAGACTCTGCACTGAGCGCAGAGCCCAACGTGGGACTCAGTCTCAAAACCCTGAGATCATGACCAGAGCCAAAACCAAGAGAGTTGGATGCTTACCTGTCTGAGCCACCCAGGCCCCCCAAGACCATAGTTTTTTAAGTTGAAGCCGTCCTATTTCCTGTTACTTGCCTTTTAAAATCAAGTAAAACATTTCTTTCTAGACATTACAGAACAGGCCAAAATGTGCTAATATCAAGTGGATGTGAAACATAGAAATCAGTCCTTCAGTCGTGTATTTACAGACTTGAGATTTCTTTCATTTCATACTGGACTGTATACTCTGGTGTCCTGTTGATAACTTACTGCTAAGATCAGAAATCATCCTACTTTTTTCTCCCTTAATAATAGTTTTAGTTTTGTTATTTTAAAAAAGGTCCTTTGTACACATGTATACCATAACTTTAAAGCTGACTTTACTGCCTCCACAAAGATACCTGGTATCACTTACATGGTATATTCTAATCCTCTCTTTGACGCCTGACCTGTATGCCAGGGGTTTTGAGAAGGTAAGGTGATCCGCACTTCTTTACAACATGTATCACAAGTATATTTTTGGATTTTAAGGTCAAAAACAAAAGTCCTTTTGTTTGTGTATGTACAATAAAAGTAGTTTCTCTTTATAGTAAAATGATCCACTTCTCAAGTATGTGTTTATTAGTAAAATAATCCATTTCAAGTAAAATTGTTTTTTGCCTTTTTTCCCCTAGCCTTGACCATACATACACACAACTCCACTGGAAGTTGAAATATTTGTGTCCGTTCTCACTCAAGTTAGAATCTTCCGTATGTCATTCTAGATTGCAGAATTTCTTTCTGATGGAAATAAAACTTCAGTTAGTTTCTAGCACTTGTTAGTGCTTCATCTGAGTTAGTTGTCACGGGTCTCGCCGTGAAATAGAGTTTGGACTCTGGTATAATAAAAATCACCTGTCTTGTTTTTATGTTTTAGAGAAAGCCTAAATAGTCTAGATTATTTTAATTTTGGTCTGTTTTCTAAGGTAGTTCTTGATTTTCTGTTGGGATCTCCTGATTCTTAAAACAGTATTGGTTTAATACGTTGTTGGTTTTTTTAATTGTGGGCTCTTTTATGCCCTTCAGATGAGCAGTCACTGCTTCCTGTCCCTTTCTGCACACACATAGCATTCCCCATTCTGCATCTTGCTTCCACCCCACGCATCCCGTTTTCCTTTTATACTCTCCTTGTACTCCCCTTCATCCTGCTGCCACCACCTCAAACAGTAGATTCTGGTCTCAAATCAAAAGGTGAGCGGGCTTTCTGGAGAAAGAGGGAACAGTTTTTTTTTCCCTCTTTCAACCTACCAATTCCAGCAGGTAGCATTTAGGAGTTCTACTTTCTTCCAGTTAATTTCCTGTAATGTTTTCTTCCCTTTTTGGCCAAACGGTATTTCATCTTTCTCTACTAGATGAACTAATCATATGCCTTTTAGTCTTTCACTGGTGGCTTTTTGTACATTTGTCATACCGTCATTGGGATAGATTCTTTCTTGGTTACCTGTGTGCAACTTCAGGGCTAGCCTCTGCCCACTTGTTGAAGATTGTGGGTGGTTATCAAAATAGGTTGGCAGTTCTGTGGAGGGAAATTTGTATTTCTGCCATGAAGCATCATATGTGCAGTATATCAGCCCTCTGAGAGTCTAGCCATCTGGGCTGTTGGACTATCTGGGAATGTTCTTGAATTGCAGAAAATAAGACTTCCCACCCAGTTATTTTTTTATAGATGACAGTCAGGTGGAGGTTATTCAGTTGTGCTGGGGAGCCCTCAGCATTTGGATTTGGCCATGTCCTGCAGGACCTGATGACAGCTTACCTTGCAGGGAAGGAGAGTCGCTCCCAGATAGCCCTCACGAGTGGCCCTGGAGCAGGAAGTGGTGAAGCAGATCTTCCTGATTTGGGAGGAGCCTGAGGTGGACCTCTCGTCCTGAGTCTGGAAGGTAAATTTGTTGTTACCTGTAAATTATGGTTCTGCTAGTTCATGCTATGCCAATCCAGACTTTCAGAGGTATCCCTCCTGCCAGCAAGAGAAGACAGATGACTTAGATGAAGATGGCTGTCAAGCCCTGGGTCATTTAGTCTTCCACACTTAAGAGTATTCATTTTAAACAAAAGGGCAGATACATCTGTGAAATTACCTTATTATTTCAACACATTGAGCACATGCTATGTAGAAACTATGGTGCTCTTTTTTTGTTGTTTCTGTTTCTTCATTTTTTTGTTTCTTAGAGTGAACCATATGGATTGGTTTAAGAGGGTCTAGCAGAACCACAACCTTACAGGCAAGAACAAATGTCACTTTCTGCTACTTTCTCCTATACCAATCCAGACTGTAGGGACAAAAACAATACCCCAATAAAGTGAATATTATCTTTATTTTTTAAGTGAGCATATTGACACTTTATTTTCCTTAATAAAATGTGGCTAAAAGTTATTTTCTGCAAATAATTGTTAAGGCCAAAAAAAAAAAAAGTTGGTGAAATTGCCATATCTAGCTCTAAGAGGAGTACTGTATGCCAAATTCACTTAGTAGTATGCCAACCTAACCCCCAGTTTATCAGCATAACCGTGCTTCTTTCTTCTCAACCAAAAATAAACCCATTCCACAAGATTTGGCAGCCAAACAAAGAGGGGTGGATACCCTGCCTTAATTTAGTGCATACATTTAGCTGCATCTATCTGCTCTAATTGGTTCATCCTCACAGGAATGAAAACATTGTCGTCATGTTAATATAGCTTAGCTTAATCTGCGTTACCTATCATCCTTCCAGCCTCTCCTTTTCTGATCGTATCTGCTGGCATTAGGGATGGCCCTACAGTCTAGAATGATGTAGGGGGAGATAGCAGAACCTGAAGAGTCCAGTCTTTCAGTTCAAAAACAGCAGAAAGAGGTAGTCATAATGGATGTACTGTTTTTTTGCACAGCTCAGGGAGATAGTTACGTGTGCCCTTCCAGAATCACCAATATTTGAGATAGGCCACTGTCTCCAAGTTACTGAGGCATATTCATTGCTTGTGCTACTTAAAGTAATAGCCATAATTTGATTCTGTCTTTGGTATCCAGACTTACTCTAGTTCAGGATTATTTGACCTTTTCTTCCCCTCCTTCAGAAATGTCATGAACTATTGAGAGGATAGGGGTTGAGTACTGTTTTAGGCTAATCCTCCTGTGGGTTGGCATCCACCAAAGTATGAGAAACCTTGCATGGAAGACATTTACCCAATGTTCAAATTGGCTAGATCGTGTAACTCTTAGATGTCTTTGTTTGGTCATCTTTGAGCTCTGAAGCTGTTTTGTCTTTTCCTGATTTGTTGGTATTATCAGGTCTTTTATAACCTAACCCAGTCCTTTTCTCTATGTTCAGGGTTCTAAATTATATATATAACGAGGAGCTGATTGTCAAGGCCACAGAGACTGTTTAGTATTACCAGCATTTATATTCCTAAATTCACTAATTTGATTTAATTAACCGTTGCATAAACTTCAAATAATTGTAAATGGCCTCAAGTTTTAAGGATTAAAATGTAATGGAAATTATAATTTGGGCATGTTAGACTTAGGAAAATCTCTTCGTGATACTCATTTAATCGGCTTTCTGAGTCCCCATTCTAACCATGTGGTGTGGAGGCTAGTGATTACCAGTTCTAACGTTGAACATTTCCTCTTTGTTTAGAAATAATAAATTATTTAACAATTTACCATGGTATGCATCTCTAAAAACTCTTCAACTCCACCTTTTTAATAACTTTATCAGGTGCTTTTGCCACATGTCTGTTTTAACAGACTATACTTCTGTTTTATGAATTTAACTTAAGTTGAAAATACAGATAACTAAGTTTTGTTTCTCCTGTTAGTGGAAACCACATTGCTCAATTGGAATTATTTTTCTTTCTGCTCTTTGGACAGACCCTTTAAAATTCGAGGTTAAGGTAAAGTGCATTCATTCAGCGTATATTAAAAATAACAAGTTTCTCTGCTCTATCCGGTGAAATCTATTGAGTTTGTGATAGCTTTTTACAAAAATTGCTGCTCAGGTCTAATATTAGGACAGTATTGAATTTTGAAGTTGACATGGATCTATTCTAATATATGTGAAATTGTCTTCATCTTGAGCTTGCCCCTGACACTGGCTTTTTCTAAATAGAATTCTGTGAAAAGGGAAATAACAACTCTATTTTTAGAGAAAAATGAATGAATTAAATGGCATTTTTAATTTAATATTTCCGTTATTGATGGGAATGCTTATTTTTAAATAATGTGTTTTGGGCTTTATGTTAATTAGATGATAACTTAATAATTTTTATATGACAGGCACCTATGGGGACCTGCTGGGGTGATATCTCAGAAAATGTGAGAGTAGAAGTTCCCAATACAGACTGCAGCCTACCTACCAAAGTCTTCTGGATTGCTGGAATTGTAAAATTAGCAGGTGAAAGCACACGTAATAATTTACCAGAAAATGCCAGTTATGTTTTTGTAACTTGTAAGAAAGCGTATTTGTAAATTTTGCAAGTGTTGCCAAATAAATAATAAATACGATAATAGGGCAAAGGTTAGCAAATTTTTTTTATAAAAAACCAGATGGTAAATACTTTTAGCTTTGTGGGCAGTACAGTCTCTGTCACAGTTCCTCAGCTCAACCATCGTAGCGAGAAAGCAGCTGTAGCAATACGTAAATGAATAGGCATGGCGGTGTGCTAGTGACACTTGATTTACAAGCACTGAAATTTGAATTTTATGTAACTGTCACATATCATGAAATGTTATTCTTCCTTTGATTTTTTTCAACCATTTAAAAATGTAAAACCATTCTGAAATGGAAGACTATAAAAAACATCAGGCAGTAGGCCAGATTGTGGGCCATTATATAGTTTGCCAAACTCTGGTATAGGGAAATACTTTGAAAAGTAACAAAAAGTTGAGGTGCTAAGAAGAGTGATAAGGTCCATAATACTAAAAATAAATTAATGTTGATAATTTCATCTATCTTGGTTTATTTTTCTTCATTCCCACTGCTTTCCATATTGCTCATCACATAAGTGTGTTAGGTATGTACTGTGTTAGACACTACAGGCAGGTGATGTGCAGAAGTATAAGACCTAGTTTATTCTGTGAGCCGCCACCTGCCAAGGGCTGACCGCATCTGTGACGAGGCGCTCAGTGAGTGGTGCAGTGAGGCACTGTGGTACTTGACCAGGCGGCGGGGGTGGGGCCTGCAGCTCCTCCGACTAGTTGTCCTTAAACTAGAGCTATCTAATGTATCCTACTCTTTCTTTCCTCTCTCCAGCCATTCTCCCCCAAACACCCTGCCCACAGCTCATTACGTACTGCTGACAGACGATTTACTAAAGATGATCTTCTATTTTTCTGCTCAGGCATGCATCTTTTTTTTTTTGTCTGCTCAAGCATCTTTAATCACTTCTTTGTCCTTAAAGGATCAAGATGGTTGGCATTTACAGCTATTGATGAGTTGCTCCATAGACCACTGTCCAAAGTTTTGGTTGCTTCCCAACAGAAATGCTCTCTGTTCTGATGAGGCGAGTTCTCCCTCCTCCCTCATAGAGCATGTTAGCACCTCTGTGCCTTTGCACAGACATTTTACCCAATTCAATTCCCAGCTTTTCCTTGAAACATTCCTCCAGCTATTATAAGCATTCTCTAAATGCTTGTGTTGTTCTCTACACTGTAATTTAAAACAACATATTCTTTCTGTCCTAGATGTTTAAGCCAGTTGCATTTAAATAGCTCTAAAGATCAATGTGTCTAATATCCAAGAATTATTTCTACCTTCCATCTCCAATTTTACATTTCGATTTTATCTAATTGCATCATATGTCTTATTTAAGCCACTTTAATGACGTTTTAGAATTGAGCCTGATGTTAATCATGAACTAGAGCTCAGCAACAGTTGGCAGACTCATGAATTATTCTGTAAATTACTGAATTTTAAATCTAAAGGTTTAATGCTATAAATTTTCATCATAGATCTTAACACAGGAAAATGCTGACTGAACTTAGCTCCCTGCCTGGAACATAAGTTTATTGGGCCTTTCTTATTCTCCTGAAGGCCTTAAATTAAATTGTAATCTGTTACCAACAGAAGGTTTATTAAATTATAGACAGGATATATTATATACTTTTTGTTCTTTCTAAGAAGCAAGCCTTCCCATTCGCTTAGTACGTACAGTCTTTAAGTCTTTTCACATACTTCTTGTGTTTATTGAACTTTTTCACCTAGCATTTTCACATTTTATTTCCAAATAAATAAGACAGAAAAAATTTGATGCTTGAGGTAGCCACATCCAAATTATCCAAAAATATTTGGTCATCTAATCAGATAGACAAAGCAGTCTCTTTGAAATGTTACTTTGACTGGATTTTCTGTGACTTGACAAGGTTTTACCAACTTACTGTAACCTTCTTTTCTTTTATTTTCCAAACTATACATTCTGGTAGGACTTTCCCACCCGTTTCCACTGAGAATTTCTTTTCTAGAATTTAACAAACTGTGGGTAAAATTAAAATACATTACAAGGACGGAAGCCATGCTCTGAAAACAGTTAAACTATAATGACATTATACAAACAGTTCTCAAAGTCTGAGTGGTACACCAGTAGCAGCAGCTTCACCCAGGGACTTGTTAGAAATGCATATTCTCACTCTGCCCCCAGCCCTACTAACTCAGTCTCCGAGTGGGGGAGTGGGGGAGGGGCGGCCATCTGTCTGCTCGCAGGCCCTGCCCGGGCTTCTGCTGCGGGCGCACGCTAACATCTGACACCCAATGCCGGCAGCTAGGTCCTGTTCGGTTTCATTTCATTTTCTTATTTTGTGGTGATTGGTTTGTTGGTTTCAGGTTACAATGCCCTTTTAAGATATGAAGGATTTGAAAATGACCCTGGGCTGGACTTCTGGTGCAATGTGTGTGGCTCTGACATCCACCCAGTTGGCTGGTGTGCAGCCAGTGGAAAGCCTCTTGTCCCTCCTAGAAGTAAGCAGCCTCTTTACCCCTACTGCAGTTGGAATATATGTACTTCAGTGCAGTGTCACACATGGTAATATTCGAGTGATATCAAAATTACAGTAATAACTTTTTGGTTTCACATAACTTATATGCTGGCAAGATATACTTGTTTTCTCTATTTTTGTTACTCTTCTTCAGAACCTTAATACTCTGAGTTGCAGGGAAAATTGTTGTGGTTTTTTTTTTTTTTTTTTTTAATAGTTTATGAAGCAATTCTACTCTTTGCTAAAGTGTAACTGGTTATTTCTTTTGTTTTAGCTATTCAGCATAAGTATACAAACTGGAAAGCTTTTCTAGTGAAACGACTTACTGGTGCCAAAACACTTCCTCCCGATTTCTCACAGAAGGTAAAGACAGGATCTTAGAAAGGACTAAAGTGTCGATTGAGAGCTCTAAAAAAGGAATAGCCTGGAAGTTTTTTTAAGGAATTGTTTTAATTTAGTGAGCTAGATGATCTAGTTTAATGTCGAGTGCACTCAGTATTTTTAATGGTACGGTATTGAAATTATTTGTAGACCTTTGTCATGAATTCCGAACAGTTTTTGTCTGCTTTTGTTTAAGGTTTCAGAGAGTATGCAGTATCCTTTCAAACCTTGCATGAGAGTAGAAGTGGTTGACAAGAGGCATTTGTGTCGCACACGAGTGGCAGTGGTGGAAAGTGTAATTGGAGGAAGATTAAGACTAGTGTATGAAGAGAGTGAAGATAGAACAGATGACTTCTGGTGCCATATGCACAGCCCGTTAATCCATCATATCGGTTGGTCTCGAAGCATAGGCCATCGATTCAAAAGATCTGGTAAGCACCTGTCACAAGACCACCTGTTGAAAACATCCTTGAGGCTAAATTATACTACTTGTTTATTTTTTTCTCTGCAGAATAGCAGAGATCAGAAATAGCATTCTACTTGTCAAGGCTGCTCATTCTGAAAAAAAAAAAAAAAAAAGGCTGCTCATTCTGCCTTAATTAGGGAAGGTTCACACCAGAATAGCAGTGTCCTAACTCCTTTATATTCCTTCCACTTGTTCTCAATTCAGATATAATGCACTTTTGGTCACAACTACATTTGTTGTCTTACACTCTTCCTAGCCAGCCCATTTGAAAGATCTAAAGGTAGCCTTTCCCCTTGCATTCAGTTCTAATCAAAAGAGCAAGATTAAATGTGGTTAGACTTAATACGGAACACATTAAAGCATACCTCTAAAGTTGTGATTCCCTAACGAAGGAATTATACCATCATTCTGATTGGCTAAATGTATTTAATAGCACATGTACTCTGAAGAGAGAAAGACTATTAGAGGATATTTTTCACCATAAATGTAGAAGGCTGTATTTCTGCCATGTTTTAGAGTATACATACCTTGTGAGTTTGAAACCTTCAAAGAAACGTGGTTTTTGGTCTTCTCACAAATGCTGACAGATTAGTATGTAACTTTTCTTTGTAGATATTACAAAGAAACAGGATGGACATTTTGATACACCACCACATTTATTTGCTAAGGTAAGAAGTTTTTATAAGAACCCTCATTTGTAAATTAGGTTTGAAAGAGGGTTGTGGGTTTTTTCCTAACATTATGGAAATCACAATTACATTTATTCACTTAAAAGGATTAAGACCTTGTGATCCATAGGTGTCACAACTATTGATTATGATTATTCTTAAATTCTGTCTATTTGCCTGAATTCTCTCTATCCTCTAATGGACGTTTGAGTTATAATATTAGGTAGGTAGGAGAAGGCATTTGGTATTTTCATCTGATAAGCATTTTCAAATTGGTAATATTCTAATTATTAAAATGATAACATTTGTAACAGTAGATGTGCTTTCATGTAATTCTTTAGGTAAAAGAAGTAGACCAGAGTGGGGAATGGTTCAAGGAAGGAATGAAATTGGAAGCTATAGACCCATTAAATCTTTCCACAATATGTGTCGCGACTATTAGAAAGGTAAGACTATAGGTTTTCAAACATAGAAATGCAACTGTAAGAACTGGGTTTAAGGTAATAGGAGAAGCAGGCCCTTAACACACTCTTTCTGACATAAAAGGTATGTATCTGGATCTTCACTGGGGAGAAGGATACCAGTAAAATAAATTTCAGTTTTCATATCAGTGTTTTTTATAGCGTGTTGTCATCTTGAGTCTGCTGCCTTTATTTATGAGGTATATATCCTGAGTTAGAGGAAGAATATTTAAGTTACTTCAAGTTACTTGGTCAAAGCTAATCCAACACAGAATTGTAACATGGCCAAGTTTATCTTCAGTTTCCTGGGTTTTTTTTTTTTCTTTTGTGCCTTTTTCTTCTTTTGGTAGTACTTTATTTTTTTCTTTTTTTCCTCTCTTCTGAAGCTCCTTTTATGAAAGGATCTAGAAGAGTTGTTTTCAATTCAAATAGGCATCAGAATATCCTGAGGAACTTAAAAAATACAAATGACCAGACCTCTTAAATGCCCACCCCATCCCTGTTCTGATTTCATCAGTCTGCTGGGGGGCCCTAGCATTGGCTTTTTTTTTTAAGTCCCCAGGTAATTGTCCAGTACAGCCATGGTTAAGAACCACTGATCAGAATCTGATTATATAGGAGTGTAGCTTAAATTGTGATTTGCATTTCAACCCAGTTTAAAGCCTTGAGCCAAAAGAATTAAAAACAGTTATGATTGCTGCCATGTCCCAGGCTCTCGTGCTCAGGGTCACACAGCTAGATGAGACCAGCTCCAAGCTTTTATTCTTCCTCTTTGACTAGTGATCAGAATTACCTAGTATGATTTAAAACCGATTTCTGGGGCGCCTGGGTGGCTCATTTGGTTAAGCGTCCAACTCTTGGTTTCAGTTCAGACCATGATCTCAGGGTCATGAGATTCAGAGACCGTGATCTCAGGGTCACGTCAGGCTCCATGCTCACTCAGCACAGGGTCTGCTTGAGATTCTCTGCCTCTGCCTCGCCCCCCACACGCACGCACTCTCCCTCTCTCAAATAAATAAAAATCTAAAAAAAAAAAAAAAATTACCTTTAAAACTAAATAAATACATAAATAAAAATAAAACAGATTTCCATGACCTACTCCAGACCTACTCAATCAGAATCACAAGAAGTATTACACACAATAACGTATTTCTTTAAAAAAGATACAGTTCTCTAGGTGATTCTGATAGCCAGGTCTGGAAACCAGTGCCATTGTACCAGGTTCTGTTCCATGAAACGAGAATGAAGGGTCCAATGAATGAATATAGCATCCAACTTCACTCAGGAATTAGTTAGGGGCGCCTGGGTGGCTCAGTCGTTAAGGGTCTGCCTTCGGCTCGGGTCATGATCCCAGGGTCCTGGGATCGAGCCCCGCATCGGCCTCCTGCTCAGCGGGAAGCCTGCTTCTCCCTCTCCCACTCCCCCTGCTTGTGTTCCCTCTCTCGCCATCTCTCTCTGTCAAATAAATAAATAAAATCTTTTTAAAAAAATAAAGGAATTACTTAGTTATTACTTGCCATACTAGGTTTGGTTTGGACTCCAGAAAGCTTATAGTCTTGTAGAACAAGGTAAGATATATAAAAAGTTTGTTTCAGGATCGACTATGACTTAAGAAGGGTACACAGCACTGTTGGAATTCAAATAAAGGAGATATCACATTGTCTCAGAGGAATCAGGGAGAGCTTTATAGAAGAGATTTGAAAACTTCACCTTGACAGTTGGGAAAAACAGCCCAGCAGAGATGCAGGGAACTGTTGTAGAAAGAGAATGTACACAAAAACATTAAGTTAGGAAAGCATAGGCCGGGTTTGGAGGAGACAAGTTGTTCGCACAGTGCACATCAAACAAGTCGCACTGAGGGGTGCCTGGGTGACTCAGTCAGTTGACCGTCCAACTCTTGATTTCCAATCAGGTCGTGATCCTCAGGGTCATGAGATCAAGTCTCGTGTCGGGCTCCACACGTAGAGCCTGCTTAAGATTCTCTATCCCTCTCCCTCCGTCCCTCCCCTGTGCGTGCGCCCACTCTACCCTTCCCGCACCCTGCCGGAAAAAAAACGGGTTGCACGGAGTATTCTGGCCAAGGCTTTTCTTTTATAAGGAACAGAAACCCACCCAGGTTTGCTTTAGGAAAGTTATCCCAAGGACAGGCAGTCTCCTAGACACGCAGGGCCGCCGGAGAACTGGAAAGCCGGAGGAATTCTCTCCATCTCTCGGACCTCTTTCGTCCCGCCTCTTCCCCGTCCCGAGTCTGCCACCTGCCCTTCCCTCTTACGGTCACGGTCCTCACACTCCGTCTCCATGTGTGGCTACGAGCTCCATTCTGTATGATGGGCTTTTTTTTTTTTTTAAGATTTTATTTATTTGACAGAGAGAGACACAGCGAGAGAGGGAACACAAGCAGGGGGAGTGAGAGAGGGAGATACAGGCCTCCCGCGGAGCAGGGAGCCCGATGCGGGGCTCGAACCCAGGACCCTGGGACCATGACCTGAGCCGAAGGCAGACGCCCAACAAGTGGGCCACCCAGGCACCCCCTCTGTATGATAGGCTTTCAGTTTCAGCCCATGACTTGACAACAGTCTCGGGGTCTGTTAATCCTAATCCTGAGAGCCATTCTAGCTGAGCCCAGCCTCTGGCTTGGTCCTCTGAAGGTTAGAAATTAGACCCCACTCTGGTCCGCTGTAGTTAGGAAAGGGGAAAGGAGGCTCATGTGAGTGAGGATAGCCTTTTCCAAAGGTGTAGGCAAAGCTGTTAAGCTTGCAGAGGAAGTTACTGTACTTGTGCAGTGTAGTAGAAACAACTAGGAGAAAGACACTCTGGGGATAGAAACAAAGATAATGTGGAACTAGGTCATGCAGGCTCTGGTTCTTTTTTTTTTTTTTTTTAAGATTTTGTTTATTTGAGAGAGGGAGAGAGAGCGTGGGGTGGGGGGGCGCACAGCCGTAGGAGATGGCAAAGCAGGCTCCCCACTGAGCAGGGGCTCGATGCAGGGCTGGAGCCCGATGCGGGGCTCGATCCCAGGACCCTGAGATCATGACCTGAACTGAAGGCAGACACTTAACTGACTGAGCCACCCAGGCACCCCGTCATGGCAAGCTTGGAATACTTGGTCAGGCCCTCTGAGCTTGGAAAAGCTTTCTGGTGTGAACAGAGGTCTACCAAAGAAAAGTTAAGCGGTGTAAGACGGGAACTGTCCAGAGAGGAAGCCTGAAAGCAGTTCTCAGTGTAGTAAGGAGAGAGTTCGTGGCACAGATAGAGGGACTACCTTTAGGGGGAGTCCTCGGACCTGGTGCTTTCTCAACTTTGAAGCTAGCTTTGACACCCTGCCTAGACTCTCAGAGGATGTGTTTAGCATGCAGGGAAAAGGCAGGACTAAGACCCTGCAAGGGACAAAAACTCCCAATAAAACTGGAGGAGTTGTGGGCATGGAGGTCGGTTACTGAAGCAATGTGTGCAGGTGACATCGCCAAAACAGGAAGGAAAGGGCCAAGATCAGAAATGTAAGGGTTGGAGGTAAAAGGACGCCACCAACAGGAACATCACCAAACAGGAGAGGTGAGACCAGGTCAGCAGACTGTAATGTCATGAGAGTCCGGGAGAAAATGTTTCAGAGAGTTGAGAGTAGTGAGTAGGTATGGGATACTTGAGGGAGGCCGAGGTTTGAGGAGGGTACATGTTGGGGGAAAGGCACTGGATTTGACAAACTTGGCCGCTGGTGATTTTAGCCTTTTAGTAGGATCAGGACAGAAATCAGACTGCAAAGACTTACATAGTTTATACCTGGCAGTGGGTCTCTGGGCGAAGTATCTAGGAGTTCATCGTACTGTTCTTGTACCTTTTGTGTAAGTGTGTACTGTTTCAAAATAAAGTATTTTTAAATCTTTTTAATGTAATGGAAAATGGGAGACATTAGAATATAAGAAATAGTGTTTTGGGAGCAAAGTACCAGCGGTAATCGGACAAGATGGAAAAGTTTGTGGGTTTGTGGGGGGTAGGGTACTACATCTTAACAGCATCAGGGGTGCAAAGAAAGGAATATGGGGACCCTTGCGCAGGGCAGCCTTAGTTTCTGTGACACGGGAGCGTGGGTGTGTGTAGCATAAGAGGTAAAGCGGAGGCTTGACAAAGCTGGGAAAGGTTTGGAAAAACTCCTCTGTGTGCTAAATCAGAAGGAAAGAAATAAAGTTACGCTGAATATCAGGACTCCGAGCCTTGCCGAGACGAGACCGTTAAATTGGAGAGGAACACTCAAGCCCTGTTTCGTGGGGGCCACAGCAGCCAGCACCTTAGCCATTGGCAAAGGCACTATTTGTCCTAGACCCCTGAAGTCACTTCTGTGTAACCCTGCTTTTGTTCTGATACACACTGCATTCTACGGAGGTTTTTCATTATCATTTCAGTTACTGACATAATTCAGTGAAGAAGCATTTTTCACTTTGAGGAGACCTTTATGTCATAGATTTTCCTTTCTTTGAGAATGTCACTTAATTTAAAGGATCACATTTATACTAGTGGTATCTAATTTCACATACTTGGAATTCTCTTAATTTAAAAGGTGCTGGCTGATGGATTCCTGATGATTGGGATCGATGGCTCAGAAGCAGCAGATGGATCTGACTGGTTCTGTTATCATGCAACCTCCCCTTCTATTTTCCCTGTTGGTTTCTGTGAAATTAACATGATTGAACTTACTCCACCTAGAGGTACTTCATCCTAATATGTACACTGGGTCTTCATCGTTGCCTTCTTTTTACATGGTATCTATTTACATCATTTAACACAGCCCTGGATTTTCTGCTGTGTGCACCTTTGATATGTGCATATGTATATATAAATGTACGTATACACAACAAGACCTGTGGGGTGCTCTGAAAATATAAAGCACTGTGTTCTAGCTAGCTTTAATAAATTCTATTAGTATAGAATTTTTCCTGAGCATCTGTACATTTTATAATATGAATTGGTATTCTTTAAGCCCTATTGAGATGGTGATGTAGGTAATTGCACACATAAACTTTTGTTAAAAATAGATACAGGCTAAAGCCTTTGAGGGAAAGCAAGTTTCCATCTTTAGAGTATCATGTGGCTTTTAAAAAAAAAAAAAGGCATACCCTTAAATAACTCTCAAGGCTTAACCAGTGTCTTTCCTAATTTAAGAGCCTTGGGTTTTTTCTCTTAAGAAAAGAAGGGGGAAAAATCTAAAAACAGAGGTCTATAAAAACAGTATTTGCCCAGCCAGTTTTCTTTCTTGCAAAGAAAGAAAAATATCACTGTGAAGTATGAAATGCTAGACTGTCGTAAGCCTAGGATCTTAAAAGCAAAATTCTGGAATTCCTGTGGTAGACAGGAGAGAGACACTTTTGCACCTGTAAGTAGGTGCACCTGTGTCTGTCTAGAAACGAAAGAAAATCCTTATAACATGGAGGAATGATTGCATTCAACAGTATTAGAGCAAGAGTTAAAAGTTTATTATATAACCTAAAATCTGAGATCTTATTGTATACTTTTTATCTACATTTTACTATTTTGCTAATTTTAAATGAACTGCTAGTTAAATCAGGTGTGTTTTTCAGGTTACACAAAACTTCCTTTTAAATGGTTTGACTACCTCAGGGAAACTGGCTCCATTGCAGCACCAGTAAAACTATTTAATAAGGTAAATGTAAATAATGGCATAATATGTGGAATTTTTTTGATGCCTCACAAATGCAAATCATTGTTGATCAAAATGTCTTTGCTTTATATTAGAATTTCTTAATGGAGATTAATATAAACAAATATATAGTAATAAAACAATGTATTTTCTTTACCTAGATTATGAAGCTTGTTTTCAGACTTTGCTTCATTTTTAATCTGAGTAAAATAGAAATGAATACATTTCCTAACTAGTCCTCAAATACTCCACCTTTATATGTTTTAATAATTAAAGAATTGTGATTTTTTTTTTTTTTTTGGTTTAAATTAGGTTATTTGGTTACATTGCTGCTGCTTTTTTTTTTTTTTTCCTTTCTCGGTGATAGTGGACTCATGCCTTCTTCTTTTCACCAGTGGTAATGTTTTGCTTCTCTATGTCAGGATGTTCCAAATCACGGATTTCGTGTAGGAATGAAATTAGAAGCAGTAGATCTCATGGAGCCACGGTTAATATGTGTAGCCACAGTAACTCGAATTATTCATCGTCTCTTGAGGATACATTTTGACGGATGGGAAGAAGAGTATGATCAGTGGGTAGACTGTGAGTCCCCTGACCTCTATCCTGTAGGGTGGTGTCAGTTAACTGGATATCAGCTACAGCCTCCGGCATCACAGTGTAAGTTGGTATACAGAAAAGGTGTCCTTTTGTAAAAATCAGCAATTCTCCAGAGGACTGTTTCACATAAGTCATCTTGTGAGCTCACAGGACAAGAATATACCTTTATCTGATTGGTTGCCAGGTAAGATCTTAAGACTCAACAACACTATCACAGACTCAGACCATGAGTCCCACAGCAGTGTGAACCCAGTAGTCAGTTACATAATGACTCTAGGCAGAAACACCACAGTAAGAGCACCCTCCAAATGCAACTAGACTTGTTTCAATGAGTTTGAAATGATAGACCAAAATGTATTGGTATGTGATAAGTGCTTATTGAATAAATAGTGGAATCTGTCTGGTATCATGGGTTTTACAGGAACAAGCACCCTTATTTTCAAAGCATCGTGTACTTTTATAAGCATAATTGTCTCGGTAAAGATAATTCATCTAAGTTGTATCTAGAGTCGTGTGCTCACAGTGTTTTTCTGGTACCAATTTTCCCTTTTATTTTTCAGCGTCAAGAGAAAGCCAATCAGGTTCATCAAAACAGAAGAAAAAGGCTAAGTCCCAGCAATACAAAGGACATAAGAAAAGTGGGTCACCACATGGTGTTTATATACATAATTTCCTAAGTTGTTAACCAATTGGGGTCACAGTATTCTTGCACAGAAACTAATATCCCTTGTGAGAGCCGATGACTGTGCATTATGTATTTTGCTTAAAGGTGCAGTATGCCATAAAAGGCAAACCTTCACAATAATGAGAAACACTTATATTTTAGTGGACAGGAAAAATGATCACCATAATATTTTAAAACATGTATGGTAAAGAATACAGATAGTTCTTGAAATAATATGTAAATCTACTGAAAATTAATTCTTTTTTAAATCTTTTTTATAAAACTTTAAAAAGGGAAGTACTTGATATTTACAGCAGACTTAGAGCTTAAGAAACCCATCCTTCTTATAAACCAAAACTCTCTTTCTAGGATGATATTTATAAGAAATTCAAGTTGATGGCTAACAAAGTCAAGCTTAAAAATTTTTTTCTAAATGTCCTTTCTATACTGTTTTTTAACCTTACAATGAATGGTTTTTGGCATTAATAGCCAAAATAATATAGGATATATTGATAGCTCTATTTTGATTCTTTTAAAATCTTTTTCCCCCCACATAGGAAGCCACAGGTTTTTCTCTTCATCACACTTGTGGAATGTTTCATTCTGAGATAAGATTATTTTTATATAAAGATCCTTTTAAAAGTAAAAAGTACATTTGAGGGTTAAAACTAAAACAGATTGTTCCAGCTGACTTGCCATATGTTTAAATAAGTGTTAATCTGTCTCATTACCAACCAGGAGACTGAAGCAGCATGAAGAATCAAATATATCCTTACTTTCTGATTACAGTCATTTGTTTATAGGTTTTTTTTTCCCCACTGGGGGACTAAAAACTTCTACCAGGCCCTGCCGTGGTGCTCTCGTGTCCTCCCGGCATGAAACCACGTCAGCCTCAACACTGATAACCTCCAGGCCTTTCTCTCACCCTCTCTTTTATATCAGAGGCGTAGGCCTCCCATTTGTCCAGAGTTCTTTTGCCCACTAGCTGCTTGCCAGGTTTGATACTCACCTGAAAGAACTTTAGAGAATATTGCCAGACAGGCAGCTCAAAGCAATCCCCATGTAGCTGGAAATGAGGAGGAAGAGTCCACATGGCGGCTTTGTCAGTGGACTAACCATAGCACACGTGATCACTAAGCTTTCTGTGAGGTTGGAGAGCACAAGCTGCGTTAGCCTGTCTTTTCACTTTCTATTGGACAACACCGAGGTTCAGAATTTTCTTTCCAAGGTGTTGAATTAAGAACTTTGATTACTCCATGACATATTTTTTAGAAATAATTTCTGAGCATTGAGTACGCAATTCACATGCCTCCCTCAATGTCCCTTTTGTGGGTTTATTTCCAGCTTAAGGGGTTTAACGATTTTGAATTAATGGCCCAGGGACATGGGAAGAAGTATGAAACTAATGAGGTGATGATAATATCCATGTGCCAGTTTTTAGTGACATTTAATAGTAACCACATTTCTGGATTAGCTCGGAAAATGAGTTTAGCTGTAAATTTATCATGTTCTTTAACTGTAACGTTGTAATAGCTCTTAATATTATGGCATCATCTCATGCCTTTAAATTGTCCTTTGGACATAGAAAGGAAAAGGACTATGAGCCCACAGCCCCTTATTAGAAACCCTTGGGACCAGATGTGTTTTGGAATTCAGAACTTTTCAGATTTTAGAAAAGAAGTATAGTATGTGTAGCATATACTATGTAACACCCCTTGCAGACTCTAGCACATTTTCTGAAGCAAAATATATGTAAATGTTTACATTAAATGGGCCAAATTAAGATTATAAATAGTATCACCAAGTGAGGTCTGGTTTTGTTGCCAAAGTTTTACAGGAAAACTGTGAATTTTGGAATTGAGGATAAGGAATTGTAGTGCCGTGTGAATGAAGAAGCAGCCGTCTTCATTGTAACTCCCTGTTACTTTTACTGTTTCTGTATTGCTCATCACATAGTTCATGAGACATTTTTCCTGCAAGACTTGCCCAAATAAGAAAGAATTTCTTATAAACCTAATTTATCCATTACATACAGTATCGTTAGCAGATCAGCCACAAACTCTTTTAAGTTTGCCTACAGATTATTCTGGCTCGATGGTTTTTTCATCTTCTAGTTCTTCGGTCTTTTTGTACCCAAAATCATCCATTGGTGTGTTCTTTGGCAGTGGTTTTTTGTTTGGTTGCTTTGTGTTTTGTTTTTTTTTTTTTTAACAGAAATAGTTGATTGGCTTCATTGTTCTAGCTTGTTTTGCAAAGATATGTGTTCATGCTATAAAGGGATAACTATTAACTAGTGCTTTTGAGTAATGATAACGTTCTGCCAAGAGGATCAGATAGACAGTTGTATGCATATGGTCTGTCCAGTCTGAAAAGCCTTATTTTTTTTCAAGGTTTCTGGAGCAGGAAACCCAGCACACTAATTTCTGAACCATCTTCAGGGGCTATTGGAAGTAGTAGAGAATTGGAGATCCTCCTTGGATTTTTACCTCTGAGTGTGTCGTACATTAGGAAAAGTCTAAATGATTTGCTGCACGTGATTGGGGTTTGTCGATTGAGCGTTGAATGTGTACTCACTACTAGCTTAGTCTCCAGACCATTTTACATAGGAATACTGTCTGACTTAGATTTATCTTTTAGTCCTGATTTCATGAAGCATAATTTCTGATTGCTCTTGCCTTGGTCATTTGTATAGTCTGGAAGAAAACAGATATAATTTATAGTCCGAGAGATATGTAAGTATCCTTCAGCTTTCAACTGACTAATGCAGTATGTTGGTTCAGTATTTGCAAAGTTCAGAGTACTTTTTGCTGGTGAAAGCATCATATAAGTCTTTGAAGGCTTATATTTACTTATGAAACTATAATCAAAACATGTTTCAAAAGAAATTAGATTGCTTAAGTACTTGCAGGCAACAAGCTTTAAATTTTAGAAATGCTTTTCAGAGTAAGAATTTTAAGTGTTTTCTAAAAGACTGCATTGTAAACCAAAAGGTAGGGGAGCACATTTCATATCAGTAAAATCGTGCCACCCAGATAATACATTTATTCAGCTGTTTGATTCTCCCCAAAAGCCAATGTTTGGCCTAATATGGGCAGTGAAACGCTACCCTACAAGTAGGGTTTTAAAACCTTCTCTCTTGGGCACCTGGGTGGCTCAGGTGTTTAAGTGACTGCCTTTGGCTCAGGTCATGATCCCGGAGTCCTGGGATTGAGTCCCACATCGGGCTCCCGGCTCAGCGGGGAGCCTGCTTCTCCCTCTGACCCTCTTCCCTCTCATGCTGTTTCTCTCTCTCTCTCTCTCTCAAATAAATTATTTTTTAAAATTTCTTTAAAAAATAAATAAATAAAACCTTCTGTCTCTTCCATTGGATTTTCAGCCCCCTTCAAGGTAAAATTTTCTTGAAGGAAGTCAGCCAGCTATTCTCCACACTAAATGCTCTAGTAGTTCATTTTGCTTTGTTGTATTTTATTTCATTTTATTTTTTTAAGATTTTATTTTTAAGTAATCTCTACACCCCATGTGGGGCTCCACCTCACAGCACCGAGATCAAGAGTCGTATGCTCCACTGATTGGACCAGCCAGGTGCCCCGCTTTGTTGTATTTTAAGTTGATTTAAGAGGCAGGAACCAGGATTACCAGGCTCTCAAGAGGCCAGAAATAATCTCCGCTGTCATTCACCCAGAACATACACCCCCACACGTACACACACTCACACTCCTTGTTTTCAGAAATACAGACCTTGCATAGTTGGTTCTCTTTTCAGAGTATCCTATGCAACACAGTCTTTCCTAGTTATAATGCACTTTTCTTACCACACATGTAAGTAAAAGCTTACTTTAGTTTGACTTGATATTTAGAGAGGAAGATGCCAATTGGGAAGAAGCCTGTCAGTTTGTCGAGCCTGCCCATGACAGGTGGGGTGCGGAGGAGCCTCTCTGGTGACGAAGAGTTGACTCCTCCTCCATATCGAACCCTTCCAGCACAGACAGCCCCGGAGGCCTTCCCACCTCCCAGCACTAGCCGAGAGTTCAGTCCCAGCCTCAAAACAGGTAATAGTCACATCAGCACCTCAGGTACTACAGGGGGTGAAAGTGTGGGCAGGGCGGTGGGAGACAAAGCATGGTCCGGCATGACAGATGCTGACTCATTAAATTTTTCTTTTTCTTTCAACTAAAAACTTCATCTTCACTAGTCCTTGGTAGTCACTTCACTAAGTTGAATCATCAGGGAGGGAGTTTTATTTTCTTTTAAATTGCTTCTGAGCCTCACATTAGGGTAAAGCTCATCATATCAGTTGCTGGAATTGTGAGACAACTTGTACTGTTTCATGGTTTCATTAAAATAGTTGAACATTTTCCATCGCAGAATTCCATGTGGTGTGGCGTGGGGGGAGAAATACACCATTAGGGATCAGCCTGATTAATCAGACCCAAAGATGAGGCTTTGCTCATAGCATTCCACAGCATCTCTCACTCACTAGGAAGGACGTGTTTTGCGTTCCTGTGGAATTTAGGTTGTGGTAACGCTGTTACCACCATTGTAGTTGAATAACATGAACTTGGAGATAAATACTTGTATAATTTTGGTGTTGAATTTGAGTAAAATTCATTCCCATAACTTCGTGTTTCTGAAGTGACATTTAATTTGAATTTAATTGGTTTGGCCAAGCTAGTAGATTGTAAGGAAAACTGCAAAAGGTTTTGCCTTTTGTAATTGCTGAGAGCAAATGTATTATCCTAGAGTATGAGAAAGGCTTCGCTTGCATGTGATGAACCTCAGACATGAGTACGGAGAGACAGGTCCGCAGCCAGAGTCCTACAGGCCTTGGCGTGTGTTCTGCCGTCATCCTAGGTACTGCTTTTCAACTCGGTGGTTTTATTTACTCGGTAGTCTTCTTGTGTGGTGAAAACCCTGATGGGGACTTAATACCTAGCTCTGTTTTCTTCTTCTTTCTCTGTTTGATAATGTCTTTATACCTGAAGTTTTTGGGGGGTTTGGTTTTTGTGGGGGCTTTTTGGCTGGTTTTTTTGGGGGGTGCCCTTTAAGATATGTTCTTTAGCTTTTGCCTCCCTACTGGTGTATTAGGTTATCTTCATCCTCCCCAATCCGTCTCTCTGAAGATCACTCTGCTAATCCTTATATCTAGAGGAAATTACTATGCCTTTTTTTATAAAAAATAGGTTAGGACTGCAAATCTAAGTTTATCTGCTCTTTAGTGGAAAAACGTTCAAAGTCTAAAGAACATTTCAGTTTCTTTTCTTGTCTCTTTGACTTTGTTTTTGTACTTGTTATTTACGACATAGTCTTCTTTAAGTCATTAACTGTAGATTTTGTGAGCTCTGAATATGTTTGATTTTATTGGATTTTAGGTGTTTTCTTTAAGCATTGGACTAATTTAGAAGGTGTGTATCGTGTTCCGTGAGAGGTTACGGATTCATGTAAAATAGAACTTCTAGGATTGGCAAAACCCAAGAACTCAGAGTAGATGCATGGGACGGAAACCAGGGAGTCTCCTACATGACGCACGACCTCCACCGTGTCTGTAGTGGCTTCTCAGCTGGGGGCACATCTCGTGGGATATGTGGTGTGATCTTACTCTGCTGGAACTGTGTGAGGACTGCATTCCTGTCTTAACTACCTGAAAGCTGCAGTTTGATTAGCCACTGAGAATTTATTACTTTTAATGGACTTCCCCAGCTAGGAAAATATGATTTCCATTAGTTTATCCCCGGAAATGTTACTGATTAGAGTCCACAAAGTGACTTCCTTTTAAAAACGGAGCTCAGAAAATGCACTTGCATGGAAGTTGACATTCGGCCACAGGGTCTATTTGATTTCATCCATCATTCATTGAGAATGAGGCCTGGAAAAGAGAAATGATTAGCGTGAAGATACCAGAAGACAGGCTTTATTTTAGATCCCATGAAAACAGTGAAACTTTGCATGGAAGCATTCCACATCTGAGTGAACGTTTCACCTTTATCTTGAGTTACTTTTTTTTTAAGCACATTGTTTCCATATTTTAAGATGCGTAGAAGCATAATCCAGAAATTAGTTGTTAATAGTTTAAATGCAAATAGTTTCAGAACTGTTTAGAATCTCTCAACTTACCTTCCTTACATTTCAAAAAACAAAACACAACAACATCGGTTTGAATGGAACATGTTTGGTCTTGAAGCACGGGAGTTCTCTTCTCATTCATGTAGCCATCTGACCATCCTGTAACAAGATACCGTTTCAACCAACCTTTTATCGTGGGTACTGCACCTTTAATGAAACTTAGGGTTTTTCTTTTCCATGTGTTTATTTTCATGGTATTGTTCAAATGTCCTTAATGATTAATGTGTGTTGGTTAGATTTGAAGGATAACTATTATATACTTGATACTCACACTCCATAAAAGCATTTTTAATTAAGTAATTTTTTTATAAAGAAACGAACTGCACAGTCTTGTTTGCTTTGACTTCCAACAGTCTGATGCGTGTTTGTTTTGCTGTTATTATGGGCATAGTGTATTCGCTTTTCTGTCTTTGGGCTGTGAAATTTTTTAACACCATTACCAAAACAAGTACCAAAGTAAAATGAAATGAATTGACATCTCTCAAAAGATTATTCTGTAAATTATTAAATAAGATGTCAAAGACCACTATTTTTTTTAAGATTTTTTTTTTTAATACCCTCTACACCCAACGTGGGGCTTGAACTCACAACCCTGAGATCAAGAGTCGCATGCTCTGCAGACTGAGCCAGCCAGGTGCACCAAAGACCACTATTTTAGGAACTAATCTTTTGTAACTAAGATCAGGATGGAAAATATTTTTCTATGACTGTACTATTTGACTTTAAAAAGCGTAACCATTTTAGGGTGCCTGGGTGGCTCAGTTGGCTAAGCACCTGCCTTGCACTCAGGTCATGATCCCAGGGTCCTGGGATCGAGTCCCACATTGGGCTCCCTGCTTAACGGGGAGCCTGCTTCTCACTCTGTCCCTCCCCACTGCTTGTGTGTGCATGTGCACGCATACTCTCTCTCTCTCACAAAAATAAATAAAACCTTTAAAAATAAAAATGTAACCATTTTAATATTGTTCCACATGGTGACACTGTCTAGTTAGTGCTTCATGAAAACTTAGTTGGCTTACTATTCATCTAAATACTCTGAGTCCTGATTCTTCTCATAAATTGACCTTTTTTCCTATATAAGCAGTTCCCAATTTACATTCCATATATGTGCTCATCCTCTCTTTCCAATTGTAATGAAAAGTTCCATAATGAAAGAAACAAAAAGTTTGCACTTTTTATTTGGAGCTGGTGCCTGCAGGAAGCGGACCGGTCGTCTCAGGGAGTAGTAGCACCCCGGCAGGAGTGGGAGTCACAGGTTGCACGTGCGTGTTGGTGGCAGGCACCGTGGCAGAGGGAGGCTCGGGCTGCTCAGCTACAGAGCATAGCAGCCAGGGAGTTCCCACTGCTCACAGCCCCCGGAGATTGCTGGCTTCCTGTTGCCAAGTCTCCCTGCTTTCCCAGGTCTTAGGTGAAGTCTCTTGTTTCAGAATATTCAGTCAAATTGAAAAGAACCATTGGACACAGGTGAGGGAGTGGGAAGGACACAGTTTGTGACCTCTGATGTAACACATCTGTGTGCTGACAGAATTGGAGAAGAAAACTAGCACTGCTCACCATGGGATTAGATCCCAGTGAGTGTTACTGTTAGCATAGGAGATCACCCATCCTTTTCTATTGTTTGGAATTTGACCAGCTCAATTTTGGTTAAACGGTAACATTTTAAGAAACCTGGACACATCTCTGAGAGGTTGGTAGTTACTAAGACTAGTTTTTAGCACCTCGCTGAGATCATTTTTATTTAAAAAGTAGGGAAGTATAAAGAGATAGATAGGAAAATCTCAGAATTAAACAGCCTAAAGTTTTTGCCCAAGACCACTGCTGGGCCCAGCAAAGAAAAAATTTTTCTTTCTCTTCATCTTTGCCCATGCTTAGGAAAAGCCCTCTCCCCTGCCCCTAAGGATTCTGACTAGCATGACTTCAGTGGCTGTCAAGAAATCTAAGCCCCACTGAAAATATTAGAAACTGAAAAACAGTTGTCCACAGAAATTAAGACCTACTGGACCTGTTTATAAACTGAGGACTGTCTATACTGTTGGTTGGTTTTCATTAAAAAGGAAGTCATCGGGGTGCCTGGCTGGCTCAGTCGGTAGAGCATGCGATTCTTAAGCTCAGGGTCCTGAGTTCAAACGCCCTGTGGGGCGTGGAGCCTACTTAAAATTAAAAAAAAATTTTTTTTCTTAAAAGAAGTCCTCAGATAAGGACTCTGCCAGTACTGCTGTTCCATGTTGCCACTGGCCATGTTGGCTGTTTTGCACCAGTGATTTTCACATTGCCGATGTCAGTAGTTTTATTTTACCTAAAATGATTACTCAAGTTTTCCATGATTTTAGTTTTAACATAGGTGTTTATCTAGTATCAGATTTATCATTTGTTTTTACAAATATGTAAATTTTGTATATACATAATACCCATCTTATAGGTGATAGAATATTTTGTATTTACAATTTATAGTACTATTTTAAAATTATCAGATTTGTATCTTTTTTCTACAGGGAATCTTCTTAATAAAGGTACTCCTTGGAAATAGTAAGATTATATTGAAGTCCTACTTATTGTGTTGTTACTTATTTTAAATATTATAGTTCAGAATCGTGTGAGAAATAGGTCATTGTTACATAGACCTTGACATAAAAGTGAATACTATAAGAAAAATTCTAATTCTTCTCGCCAAATTAGTGCTCACCATTACCTTGACCATTTCATTGAAGCTGTCCATCGTGCAGTGTCCAGCATGCAGTATCTTACTGTTCTTTACGGAACTTTCCTTACCTGCTGATACACTTTGAAAATTGAACTAAATGTTCATACTTCAGGGGGTTAATTTTAAGAGTTACTGAAGACATGAAGTCTTCCTAACTGTAAAGTTGGTGGAACCTGAAGATTGAAAGTAATCTGAATACTCCAGAAAGGCTTCATAACATCCCATACATTTATCTCTTTCATGCAGTGACAACATTGCAGCTGAAGGAGGAGTTGATAGACGGAGAGGATTATAATTTCCTCCAAGGAGCATCTGATCAGGAAAGCAATGGCTCTGCCAGCTTCTACATCAAACAAGAGCCCTGAGAGGACTCCACGGCAGAAGGCGGGAGGGGAGGCTTTTACACAGGACTGGTTTATAATCACTCGAGCTGTACAGCGGGGCTCTTCTACTGGGACATTTTGCTAAACATAGAAAATTTCAGTTCCAGATTTTTCAGGTGGGTGGGGAAACTATTTTAGTCGTGTGGGGAAATTTTTCAATTTATAAAGATGGACAATTTTTGTGTTGTATTTGAAGCTTTTGAAAGAATTTTGTAATATTTTCCAAGTTTGGATTTATGTGCATTGTTAACAACTGAAATTCTAACTTTTTGGTAAGATTAAAGTTTAGGTAGCAGGATTGAAGGAAATGATTTAAGAAGGATATAGTTGTAAATGCAAATGAACTGTCATTACAAATGAACCTTTTTGGTACCTGTTGGGAGATTTTGGGATTTTAGAGAAGTTAGGCCAGTCACATCTCCAGCTTCCTTTGCTGCAGAAATATGCAACTGAACCCCTCCCCCCTCGTGGAGGGTTCATCACCACATAGATCATGGAAGGGGTAATTAATTCTGCTTGTTGGCATTTTATTGCAGCCCATTTTAATGTTTGTACAGAAATGTTTTTCATTCTGTGAAAATTTATTTGGAGTTCTATATGAAACTGGAAGAACTCTGGATACTTTTATATGTTCTCTTTTAATTAAAAAATGATTAAAATTAGCCTAACACTAAAGTGTTAAACTGGAATGGTTGACAAGATAAACAGGATCTCAGTCTACACGTTGAGGGATTGGGGAAAATGCAATATTGTCCTTCGTTCATTTTCTTTTCCTTACTATAAAAGATACCCCACAAGAGGGATTCTGATCAGTTCCCTGCCATTTCCCTCCGTCTGTTAGATAATACTGAGTATAACCACACCCCAAAACAGATGTTCTTCTGTATTACCAGTAGAATCAAGTCAAAAGTTGTTTAAAGCCAAAAATCAGTTTAGAATTCAAAATCATTCCAGCTCTGCTTTTAACTATCCTGGATTTGTTTAAAAAAAATAATAATAATTTGAAAGAGAATTTAATTTTCTTAAAATTCCATATATAAATATATATATATATAGTATGAATTGTCTTTTAATTGTATTCAAAATTAATTTTAACAGTAATAACTGATTTGGACCATTTCAAACATTCCCTACTTTAAAATTCACATGGCTTCCTTTAAAAGATACAAGGGTAAATTGGTGACAGGTTTGCTCTCTGCATTTTTCTAACTTTCTGAGTTGTGACTGAATGGGAGAGCTCTAGCGTTTACCAGTGAGGTTCATAAACTAAACTCTCAGGAATTAATTGCATCTGTTCTAGAAGTGCTTCTGGGTCTTAGCCTGGCCTCTTCAGAGTGGTAACATTGGCCATCTCCTCTGGAATATAGGTAGGGCTAATTAGAAATTAATCAAAATGATTAACCTCTAAAGTCCTTCAGCCTATGGAATGCTTTAAAAAAAAAAATGGTAATGGAAAGCCCCAGGAGACCATTTTAGGTAAGATTTTTGTTTGAATTTTAAAATGCATAGAACATTAAAAACCAGCAATTTATTTTCTAAAATATTGCTCTACTTTGGGGAATAATAGCATTGGTAATACGCACAGGTTTACCTCATTCTATGCAAGAGGGGTTAATAACATAAGGTTTTGTAGTTGCTACTGGAAGTAAAATTTGTTACTTTATAGTGTAAGAATGTATGGAATCGCATGTCAACATTTCTTAATACTGACTCTTTAGGGGCATAAATGCAGATCATATCAACGCCAAGTTGATTCTCATGTGTCAAATATATGTGAATTCAGCTGTTAAATTACTGGATATTTATCTTAAACAACCTTACTGAGAGGGACCTACTGTAAATGTGACATCCTCACACTTCCCAAATCTTTAACTTTTAAGAATCTTCCCATAAGCAAAAAGCCTAGAAGACTTTCACAGCAGGGCTTACCACGGTCTTCGTTCTCAGGCTCTGGTTCCATGACAGGAGCTGCAGGGCGTGCTCGGCCATACTTGGGGCTTAGGGGCCCTGTGGGGAACTGAGTAAACCAGGAGGGATTTGATTTGGAGCCTGGTAATTAGTTCTGTGCACAATGCTCATTTGTAGCCAGGTCTTAGAAGCTTCCAGTCATACAGCAAAACCAGGCTCTGAGCGTTTTCAAATGTCCCACCTGTTTGTGTGAAGTATTTCTCGTCTTGATCCCATGCCCACAGTTAAAGGTTGGCAAGGACTTCCTATGGTCTAAGCACAGTCTGAAGCCCTCCTCGTTCAGGCTCTAACTCCTGCTGCTGATGAACAGAAAACAAGTTAGTGCGGAGGAGATTGATGTCTCAGCCATAACTCCAGTTCTACAACCCAATAGCCCCATTCTCTTCTACGGTTCAAAATGTACTGCTGACCTTGGGTTTGTTTTCATTTTTTTTCCTGTTAGGATTATTTGGGGATTTTTGGTAGTTTAAACTCTTTAACCTTTTCCTTGCTGTGTATGAGGAAAGCTAAAGCTGTTATCAACTTCTTATTCTACGGATACTAACACGGGTTTTCAGTGTTTGTTTGTTTTTATTATATTAATTTTGCGTGATGTGAATACCCTCTCCCATCAATACTTGTATTATGGTGCTATATATTTGGTAATGATCCTTTACTATTGGGAAGGGATTTTAAAAATACTGTGATGAAACTGGGTTGCTTCCTTTGATTTTCATATTTTAAATAAAGCCACAGTCATTTATACAAAAGAAAAGCATCTGTCCCTGGGCAAATCTTTTGAGGACAGAGGTCAAAGTAAACTGCATAAGGTTTTTACATCATTTCTGTATGTATTTGATATATAGATCAATATCTGTACAAATTTAATCTTTTATTTTCTTGGTAACTTGTGATCACTGAGAAAGTATTTGAGACTTTCTCATGAAGTGTATATAATGGCGTGAAAAGTTCCTTCAGAGAAACTTATGTTCCTTTCATTTTTACCAAACTGCAAATTTTCAGCATGGATGTGAAAAGCATTAAAATTATAACTTTGTGTACAAGATGAAAATAATTCACTAAATTTGCCCTTTTTTACACAAAATAAAACGTTAAAGTTAAGTTGTATCGGAGCAATTCTTTAATACGCTTTGGTCTTTTGAGGGGTTTCCTTTTTTATTCAGATATCGGACGCCTTCTATAAGCAATCACAAGCCCCTGAGAAAGCCAGGTGGGTTCCTTCTCACACGACCTGTGACCTGAGGGAAAAGCAGGCACGTTTGCTACTGGCTGACAAGGAGGAACAGCGGACGGGGCCCCTAAGCCCCAGGTATGGCGTGAACATGGCTGCGTTTGAGCCAAGGTTTCACAGACAAAGGTAAATGGCCAAGCCACAGCACGGGCAGCGGGGAGTGCGGGCCACGGGTGGGAAGAGTCCTTCACTGTAGCTACAACATGGGGTTTCAGGGTTGGCGTGCTTGCTGGGGGACTTTTTTTTTTTAAGCTCCATTAATCTCAATAGCAGACAAAATTCATAGGATGTAAATAAATGATCCCAGCTGGCTCTTGCTGTTTGCGTGAAGAGGAAACGTGAGACACCCCCCTTTACAAACAACTAAGTCCTTAGTAAATTACTCAACTTTTACTAAAAAAAGCAGTTTGTAGAGGGGGCGCCTGGGTGGCTCAGTCGTTAAGCGTCTGCCTTCAGCTCAGGTCATGGGGTCCTGGGATCAAGCCCCACATCGGGCTCCCTGCTCGGTGGGAGGCCTGCTTCTCCCTCTCCCACTCCCCCTGCTTGTGTTCCCTCTCTCGCTGTGTCTCTGTCAAATAAAAAGATCTTAAAAAAAAAAAAAGAATTTTATGGATGTAAGGTAACATGGGTTGGGTCTTCTGGGGTTAATTTCATCATCACGCTTTAGAAAAATATAACACACTGCAACCCTAATTTCTGCCCTGCTTTCTACCTTACATGGCTTGAACGGTTGCCTAGTACGTGGGAATTCCCAGCTTGGCTCTCATTAACAGTCCCCTGAGATTTGAGATACACATACTATTCTTGAAACCATTACATGCCCCTTGGGAAAACTAGGTTCCTGGTGTGCTTTATCCCAACATACGTTCCAGGACTACCAAGTCTAGTCCTAGTAACTAGTAAAACTAGTTACTAGTAAAAACTAGTAACTTTTTACTCCTGTGGTGGTTAACCATCCTTGTGAGATCAGGGGACAACAGTAAAGGATTTCCTCTTGCAAACTGTTAACTGCGGCTATGGCATTTAAATAATGTATTTAATTTGTACTCCAAAAAAAATTTTATGGAAAACATAAAAGGTTCTGAAGGAGTTGTCCGCATACACACAGCTAGCTGGGAGATAGCATGAGGTCCAAAATCCAACCTTACTCCAGAGGCAGTAACTTTAATCTCACCATAGTACACCCTTTCTCGTTCAGTTCTACCGAATTAAGTCCCGAAGTTCACACCCTTCCTCTCACCTTGCCCCACTCCAAATTTGATTTCAGGTACCCTCCTAACTCAAAATTTTCAGGTGTCATTTGGAAGGAAAACTAGGTAAAGGTAGTAAAACAGTAACCAAGAGCATGGGGTCCGAAGCCAGCTGCTTCCACTGAAACCATCCTTGTTAATTCTCTAACTTGACCCAGTTTCCTCAGCTGTAAAATAGGAGATTGGTACTGGTATCCCCAAGAGTTGTGAAGACTATAAATAAATTCATGAACAGCCTTGACACAGAATAAGCCCATAATTAACTGCTGTCCATCCAAATACCTCAGCTTGTGTGTCACTGTGAGACTTTGAAACCCATTAAAATGCAGATCCAGGGGTGCCTGGGTGGCTCAGTCGCTTAAGCATCTGCCTTTGGCTCAGGTCATGGTCCCAGGGTCCTGGGATCGAGCCCCGCATCGGGCTCCCTGCTCGGCGGGAGGCCTGCTTCTCCCTCTCCCGCTCCCCCTGCTTGTGTTCCCTCTCTTGCTGTGTCTCTCTCCGTCAAATAAATAAAATCTAAAAAAAAAAAATGCAGGGGCGCCTGGGTAGCTCAGTCGGTTAAGCGTCTGCCTTCGGCTCAGGTCATAATCCCAGGGTCCTGGGATCGAGCCCCGCATCGGGCTCCCTGCTCAGCTGGGAGCCTGCTTCTCCCTCTCCCTCTCCCCCTACCCCCTGCTCATGCTCTCTCAAACAAATCTTTTTTTTTTTTTTAAGATTTATTTATTCATTTGAGAGACAGAGATACAGGGAGAGAGAGAATTAACCTTAAAAGCAGGCAGTAAGACTTTTGTAACCAGTCGCTGCATGTAGCCCAGAAAACAGGCTTATCTCACTCCAGGGAAGAGTAAGAAGGAGGGTAAGGTTGCAGAGAACACTTACCAGGGGCCAGGCACTAGATATATTCTTTCTTTTAAACCTGCATTGCAGTGGTATTACCCTCATTTTACAAATGTCTTTAGACTTCCATTTTTCTCATAACTTGCCCAGTTAGCAGTCAACAAAGATGTAAATCTGGACTTGACTACTCTGTTTCACTTGAGTTTCAACAAATTCACTGTACAGAAATCTACATGTCTACATCCTCCAAGCTGGTCAGGATATTTATTTCCATCATTTCCTTTTTAGACACACGGTCAATGCCACACTTGCCCTCTTCAGCCTCTCTACTTTACCTCCTAGAGTCTAGCAGTACACCCAGGTGCTAAGAAGAGTCAGATCATTCTTTCACAGCAAGCAGGATTATTTGGTTCTGGATAATGCTGCGAAAGCCAAGGAACAGAGTCACTTCTTGCAGTGTCGTAGCAAGTAAGCACAAAAGGCTGCACCAGTTTCCAAAGGCTTTATTGGTAAGTACGTTTTAGAAAGGAAAGAATGATGCCATTACTTCCAAGTCAGTGGAATGAAGAGGTGTGTCCAGGGCCACGTCAAGTGGTGCCAAAGGGGACTGATGCTTTGTCCACCTTTTATTCATAGATCCAGTCAAAAGCACAAGACTTGTAGTTAACCAACTCTTCAGGCTTAAACCAGAGACTTATTTCTTTCTCTGCACTTTTTACTGAATCACTGCCATGAATGATGTTCCTAAGAAAGAGAACAAATACTTGTTACCACATTTTATTTATTAAAGTAGGTTCCACACCCAGTATGGAGCCCAACGTGGGGCTTGAACTCACAACCCCCTGAGATCAAGAGCGAGCTGAGATCAAGAGTCAGATGTTTCACTGACTGAGCCCCCCAGGCGTCCCCCAGGTTACCACATTTCAAAGTGCCAAAGTCTGTTTATAGTTAAGACAAAGGAGTCACTGCAGACCTTTTCAGCCAAACTGCCACTCGAAGCACAAGACTACCCCCCCAAAGTATTTCCTCTTAAAAGCAACTATAAAATGGGGGGGGGGGCTTAACCAAAAGGTTAAGTGGCGCACCCATAGCCACAGCCACAAGGAGCAAAGCCGAGGCTTCCCCCCTCACTCCGCGCTTTCCAGCCACATGAAGCTCCCTTATGCGAGGCCTTAGGTAAAATTTTAAGTAGCATAAGGAAGTCACTATTGAAGAAAACTTTCATCCAGTGATCATTTCCACCTAAATTTAAAAGTTCAAATTTTCCTAAAATTGGGATACGCCAATAAAGTTTCATACCCCCCGTGAAGTGCCTTTGAGAAACAGTCCTCCATGCCCCTCAGGCCTTACCTGCCAACTTGAATGCAGAAGTCCCCACGAATGGTGCCGGGCTTAGAATCCGCGGGGTTGGTCTCCCCAAGCATCATTCGCCCCGTCTTCACCACATTCAGTCCCTCCCAGACCTAGAAACAGTCGGGAAGAGGGACTGCATCAGATCTGTCACTTGGGACCATTTCAGTACAAACCTTGACCCGTGCCTTCCAGCTCGCTCCCGTCAGACCAGCCAGTGACTCGGTCAGGCAGCTCAGCCCGTACTGGACAGCAGGGGCCTGTACGGGGCGCTCCGTGCTCCATCCCCAGCGTATCGCTCGGATACACAGAAACCGTCTACCCAACTCGGGGACTTCCCACCTAAATGAGAGGAAGATGAACAGGACAGAAGAACCTCAGGCAGCCACAAGCGCGAGGAGAAAGGGTGATGGAAGGGGTAGAGCACAGTGATCAGGCTGGAACCGGGTCGGGGCAAGGACATTAGCGCAGGACATGGTGAGGATCCCCGTGAAAGCAGAAAGTGTAGGCAGGGGAAGAACGGGAAGAACAAAGCCACCCTCCGAGAACCCGGGCCGATTTCAGTGCCTGCCTCCCGAACTTCCTACTCCTCTCCATTCCCAGCTGGACATTAATGCCAGAGGAGGAAAAAGACTACTCCATTTCTAGCACTGGGTTACAGAGAACTTTCTAAGGTCTGGTTCGCCTTTTTTTTCCTCCCAAGCTCCTAACTGCTCTAGCCCCAGCAGGCTCCATTTGTAAAACAAAGGAATTTGAAGTGGCTGGGGAAGATGTCTAAAAAGAGGCCACGCCGCACTGAGCAAGCCGGTTCCGCACCAGCCCCTATTCCCGGCCCCTCCTCCCATCCCCCCACCCCCGCGAAGCACTTGCCATGGCCACAACGGGCCCGGAGTGCATGTACTTCACTAGCCCCGGGAAGAAGGGACGGTCCTTCAGGTCAAGGTAGTGCTGCTGCAGGAGCTCCTCGGAGGCCTGGCACGCAAAAGGAGGTCGCCGTTAGGAAGTACCCTGGAAAGGCTGAAATAGGGCTCTGTCCCATCCTCAGAATCCGCCCCCCCCAATTCCCAAGGCAGGTTCTCCAAGTCCTGTAACATGTTAGCCCACATAAGGTGTAAACAGAAATCCCACCCAAACCCTGACACTGATACTCTTTTTAGCAGAAAGGCTGTTCCCATCATGAAGACACCCGGAAAATGTCAATGGTATTAGGGGTGTTATCATCCTAAGAAGTAGGTGGTTTGAGAATCTAGATGTGGAGATTAAGCGTTGGCTGCCTTTGAAGGAAACACGTCAGAGAGCGGTCATGTCACTCTTCTGGCCCACTTCCAGTGCCCTTTCCAACATTTCACATGTTAACCGAGAACGTTCTCTTCCCAGATGGGCCTGGTTAAGATTTCAATACTTAACTTCTCCCTTAAAGTCCAGATCTGTGCCCCAAATGTAAAGTGTGGAAATGCCGGGCCCTGCCCTAAATCGGAGGGAACTCCGTCTGCCCGCACCCTGGGCACGTGTGGCTCGCGTGGCCGCGCCGGGGAACAGGTTTCTCCGCGCCCCGCGGGCCCCGCGCCACGACGAGGCACCGGCTGCTCCCCGGGCCGTCACGTCACCTCCGCTTAACCTTGCGAGGGCGCCCGGGTTCGCGGGCCGCGGGGCCCCGGCTCGGACAGCCGGATCCCCGCGAGGGCGAGAGCCGCCGGGCGCGGGGGCGGGGGGGAGCGGCGGCGGGCGAGCAGGAGAAGGGGCGCCCGCCGCCGGGTTCCGGGGGTCCGTGGGGGCGCCGCGTTACCTGCAGGAACTTCAGGGCCACGAGGCGGAACCCCTTCTGCTCGAAGCGCTTGATGATCTCGCCCACCAGGCCGCGCTGCACGCCGTCCGGCTTGATGGCGATGAACGTGCGCTCCTGGTGGGCCATGGCCTGCGGGCGACAGGCCGGCTCAGGACCCCGCGGCCGCGCGGGCACGGGACCCCGGCCGCCCTCCCCCCCACCCCCACCCCCACCCCGCGGGCGCCCCGGGCCCCTCCGCCCGCTCCGCGGGGACATGCGCCCGCCGGCAGCCGCCGCCGCCCCGCGGGAAGAGACCCGGCCCCGGGCCCCGAGGGGGGAGGGCGGAGGGGGGCGGCGAGCGCGTTCGCTGGGAGGGGGTTCGGGGGGGGCGGCGGGGAAAGCGCCCCCAGCGCCGTACCGGGAAGCAGGCTGCGCGGCGTGGCAGGAGGCGAGACGTGGAGCGGGCGGCGGGGCCCGGGGCGGCTCGGGAGGAGGGCCGCGCGACGGCCACACCCCCGACGCCCCGCCGCCCAACCCGCGAGGCCGACGCGGCGGAGAACTCTGAGCACGGCCCGGGCAGGCGAGGAGGTGCTGGGGGCTCGGGAGCAGGAAGCGGCTTCCTCTCCCCGTGGGGTGGGCTGGGGGGGGGCCGCTGGAACTCGGCACCTCCGGCCCGCAGCCCTCCCCGCAGTGCCTCCTGCCACGCGCGCGCATGCCCGCGCACTCACGCGCCCTGTGCGGTCACTCATCCCTGACGGTTCTAGACTGTCTCACAGCAGTGCACACAGCTCCCCACCCTTGGGTGGTGCCCAGCTTCGGTGGCGAGGCAGCGAGCCCGTCCTCGCCGCCCGTCCAGACACCCGTCCGGCAGTGCCTGTCCCCCGAGAGGGTCGGAGGCCTCGTGTCTGTCCCTGCTCGGGACAGCGAGCTGACGGCGGGCACCGCGTGCCAGCCGCGACTGCTCCCGGCGACCGCACTGATGACCGACCGCACTGAGAGCCGGTATCCGCCGGATTGAGAGAGGACTTCAGCTGCCTCCATTTTGACCTCAAACTCTCGGGTTGACTAAATTCTTCTTGGGGCGCCTGGGTGGCTCAGTTGTTAAACTTCTGCCTTCGGCTCAGGTCATGATCTCGGGGTTCTGGGATCGAGCCCCCCATCGGGCTCCCCGCTCCGCGGGAAGCCTGCTTCTCTCTCTCCCACTCCCCCTGCTTGTGTTCCCTCTCTTGCTGTGTGTGTCTCTGTCAAATAAATAAAATATTAAAAAGGAAAAAAAAGTAAATTTCCATTTTGCTTCTGTTAAAGCAACCAAGTGCCCTAACAAATCAAAGCTACTCAAGATTTCACCTGCTTCTTCTGAGGTCCTCCCAGGAACCCAGGCCCACTATCCAGCTTTTCTGTTTTTGGAGTAGTTATTTCTCACACTCCCCCATCTGCAGAGTCCCTCAGAGCTTCTCAAGAGTAGTAAGGCTATCTCTTATTTCCAGTGAATCTTCTGCACCCAGTACAACCTTAGCAACCTAGCAGATCCTTCCTGGATGACTGCTGACTGGCTCAGTGCCAAAAGTGGATGGGATGCAGGAGTGAAGGGAGGGACAGACAGATCTCTCTCAGGCCAATAAAAATAATTTACATAGTATTTACATTCTGTTAGCTTAGGTTATCCAGAGTAAATGGAAAAGAAAAAACACTACAAAGCAACAGGGCAATACAAAGTAACCGACTCGATGAATCCTATGTTGGGATGAAACATTTTAATCTGATAGTAGCACATAATACTGTACAGGGAGCACTCCCAGCTCCAGAGTTCCCCTCCAGGTTTTAAGGAAGTTCTCAAAAATAAGTGGATTTCCGAGAGCCTGGCCCCCTGCTTGTGGGAGGGAGCAGGAATGGAATGAACAAAGCACTGAGGTCTGCTCTCTCGTCACTCGTCACCCGTCACTCATAGATCCAGCTCTGAGCACAGCTCTTGTAATCCACCAGCTCTTCAGGCTGGAACCACAAGCCGATCTCCTTCTCTGCACTCTCCACAGAGTCGCTGCCGTGGATAATGTTCCTGGATGGGGAAGGAGATGGCCATGTTACCTAGACCCAAAGGATTCAACTGCCCGGAAGCCCCCCCACTCCCACTGCCAGAAAGCTGACAGACTGCAGCAGAAAAAGCCAAAGCTCCCTGCACCTGAGTCCACATTATTTTTTTATTATTTTTTTTTTAAGATTTTATTTATTTGAGAAGAGAGTGACACAGTGAGAGAGGGAACACAAGCAGGGGGAGTGGGAGAGGGAGAAGCAGGCTTCCCGCCGAGCAGGGAGCCTAATGCGGGGCTCGATCCCAGGACCCTGGGATCATGACCTGAGCGGAAGGCAGACACTCAACGACTGAGCCACCCAGGCGCCCCCCCTTTTTTTTAAGTCATCTCTAGAGCCAAAGTGGGGCTGGGCTCGAACTTACAACCCCAAGATCTATAGTCGCATGCTCTGCCGACTGAGCCAGGCAGGTGCCGGAGGAACACAAATTCTTATGTCACCTAACTCAGATTTTGGAAAAAGGCAAAAAGCACCCACTCCCACCTGCCAACTTGTATGCAAAAGTCCCCACGGATGGTCCCAGGCTTGGAGTCCGCAGGGTTGGTCTCCCCGAGCATCACTCGGCCTGTCTTCACCACATTCAGGCCCTCCCAGACCTCCAAGGATAAAATATATGGTCAAGGAAGAAAACCCATCTCAGCAGAAAATCTGAAAACTATTAACTCAAAAAAAGAAAACAGCCCCCTTATAACACTGAAGGAATAGTTATGGAGCATCTACTGGTTCCAACACTGGCAATACTGGCCTCCCTGCGCCCAGTCCTGCTTTCCTATAATCCATTCTTGACAGAGCAGCCTGAGCAGCCTTTAAAAATGCCTACTGTTGGACCTCCCTTAGCGTCCGTCCCGGCGCTCAGGATGTGTGTGGCCAGCACAGCCCTGCCTGACCTGGCCTGCGCCCGTGCGTCTGAGCTCATGTCATCTGACCTTCTCTTTCACCCACCAGGCTCCAGCGGCTCCAACCTTCTTTCTGTACCTCAGAAAGCCCAGGCCCTTTGCACATGCTGTTTTCTTGTTGAGACTGCTCTTCAATGTGATTCTTGTCTATGTCTGGCTCCTTCTTTTCACTCCGATTTCAGCTTGAAAAGCATGTTTCTTGACCAGCCAATCTAAAGTGGCCACTTGCTGTCACATCATCCTATTACATTTCTGGGCTTATCACTAATCATTAGCATACATATATATTTCTCCATTATCTGCCCATCTTCCCCCTTTAAGATGTGTAGGCAAGCAAAGCTATGAAAAGCTTTGTAATCCTTAGTACCTATTTTGCTGTAATACTTAGTACCTATTTTGTCTCATTCATGACTGTATCCCCAGTGTCTGGAACAGAGCCTGGCACCATGATGACAACCGATACATACTTGGAGGAAAATCATTGCAATAAGCAAGAGACAATCTCGCTGCCCTCCCGAAGTGCACAATCAGGCCAACCTCACCCGATCGCTCCCAGCTATGAGTCACTGTGAGTCTTCAGTTCAGCAAACAAATGCATCTTGCCTTTGGTGGGTCAGAGAGCTAACTTATATCCTAACTGCCCAATCCTCCCAGCCCCCATTTCCTGTGTATCAGTGAGGACCTGGCGTCAGAGACAGGAATCACACCCCTCACTCTTGACTCCAACAGAGTCATCCACCTCGATATCCCACACATGCAGACTCACCATGGCAACCACAGGCCCTGACTGCATGTACTTCACCAGGCCAGCAAAGAACGGACGGTCCTTCAGGTCAATGTAGTGCTCCTTGAGAAGGCCTTCGGAAGCCTATTGCACAGGACAGAGAATGAGAATTGGCCCCCAATCTTTCTAAGAATCAGCAATCTAATTATTTCCCACTCACTGCTGTCTAAAATGTGAGCTCTCAGCTCACTGATTCTGTTATAACGCAATCCGCTCCCAACACTACCAGAGGGGAGCAGTGCCAGGGAGACTCAAAGTGCTTCAGCTTTGTGCCAATTTCCCCCGTTGGCCTTGCCCGATCGGAAGAAAACCACAGAACATTAGAATCGAATCCGGGGCGCCAGGGTGGCTCAGATGGTAAAGTGTCTGCCATCGACTCAGGTCATGATCACAGGGTCCTGGGATCGAGCCCCACGTCGAGGCCCACGTCGGGCTCCTGGCTCAGCGGGGAGCCTGCTTCTCCTTCTCCCTCTGCCTCTCTCCCTGCTCATGCTCTCTCTCTCTCTGTCTGTATCTCTGTGTCTCAAATGAATAAATAAAATCTTTTTGGTTTTTTTTATTTTTTTTTAAAGATTTTATTTATTTATTTGAGAGAGAGAATGAGATAGAGAGAGCGAGCATGAGACGGGGGAGGGTCAGAGGGAGAAGCAGACTCCCTGCTGAGCAGGGATCCTGATGCGGGACTCGATCCTGGGACTCCAGGATCATGACCTGAACCGAAGGCAGTCGCCCAACCAACTGAGCCACCCAGGCGCCCAATAAAATCTTTTTAAAAAAAGAATCGAATCTGGCCATCCCATTTTAGACAGCAAAACTAACAATACGATGACTTTCCATTCATTGAGAGCAGGCCTCAACTCAAATGTCAGAGGGAAGTGGGGGCGGGGGGGTGTCTTGGCATTCGATGAGAAGCAAACTGAACCCCGGCACAACCCAGGGAGACGGCTCATTTACTCAGAAGATGAAGGCCAGGGGCCAGGTGGGGCAACTATGCGATTCCCACAAGTATTTCACAAACCACTCAAAAGTACATGACATCTAGCAATAAAGCAAGTTAGCCAGAGAGTGAACCAGCTGCTTGGCAATTCCAACTCCCTCAGCCGGGCTCACTCTTTGCCACAGCACATGGGCTTGCTCCGGATCTAACACGGACCCTTCGTTCTCCCAGGTCTGTACTCTGCGCACTGCAGTCATACCCACAAACGTGGAGAGCCACTGCCAGAAAGCACATCCAGAACGGCCCATCTCTCAGCCTCTGGTGAGTGTTCCTTGCCAAAGTGACACAGCCACGTGACCACACCACGTCAGTCATTCACCCTTGGCCACCGCCCACCCCATCCCAACGGAAAACTGGTAGGGGTGGTCTCCTGACACACAATGACTTGACCTTCCCTTCCCCGAACAGTCTTTTAATTCTACTAATTGGTTCTGATCATCTTTTTTATTTGTTTTTTTTGGTTCTGGTTATCTTTAATTTTCTTTAAAGATTTTATTTATTTATTTATTTGAGAGAGAGAGAGTGAGAGACAGAGCAGGAGCAGGGGGGAGGGGTAGAGGGAGAAGCAGACACCCCGCTGAGCAGGGAGCCCCATACGGGGCTCGATCCCAGGACCCCGGGATCACGACCTGAGCCGAAAGCAGACGCTTAACCCACTGAGCCACCCAGGCGGCCCAGTTCTGGTTATCTTTAGTTTGCCGAACAGATTACACGGTTTCTTCGGAGGGGGAACATCAAGTTTTCCCTCCCCGCCCTCCTCCCTGTCCTCTGTAGACTCCTGACAGCTGCCCCTCCTCCCATTCTTCCTCAGGCCCACATCCTTGATCGGCAAGTCAACTTAATGGGGAAAAATGCACTCACTCAGGGGTCAGAGAGACCTGAGTTAAAATCCCTGCTCCATCACTGTGCGCCTTCCGATACATTATGTAACCTCACCAAGCCCCAGATTCCTCATGACTGACAACCACAGGCACAGAAATAAGTATGTCTCTGGCCTGTCATAAAAGGCAAAGAAAACACGTATGTCCAGCACACAGTAAATGCCTGATCAACAATACTTTTCATTTCACTTTGCCTTCAAAACCTAATTTAATATGCAAACTCCCTGGAAAGCAATGTTTGTCCAATACCTGGCACTGATCATTCCATCATGTACCCCTCCGACTCTGCACTAACATCCATCTACTCCCTATTATACTAAAGCGGTTTTCCTAAACATCACACAGGAACTAAACTGCAAATCAAACTAAGTTTAAAATGCACTAGCAGAGTCCAAAGATGACTCTATAGATAGGAAAAAAGAATGCCCCCTAATTTATCTGCTTTGACAATTTGAATTCTCATTTCCCAGGTCTGTCTGAAAAAAGGTTCTTAGCCAGTTTATCCTTTTCATTTTTGGGGTTTTGTTTTTTGGGTTTTTTTTTAATGTTTTAGAGAGAGAGAGAGTGAGCATGAACAGGAGGGGCAGAGGGAAAGGGAGAGAATCTCAAGCAGACTCTTCGCTGAGCCTGGAGCCTGACGCAGGGCTCCATCTCATGACCCTGAGATCACAACCTGACCTGAAACCAAGAGTTCGACACTTGACCAAATGCATCACCCAGGTGCCCCTTCCTTTTCATTTTTTGAAATATTGCTTTGCAGGTGTCTTGCAAGTGTGTCCGCTCTCTGCTGTTTCCAGGTGGGCCTTGCCAAGGGCAAAACCACAGCTTTCCCTGCAACATGCCCTGATGGTGCCTAATATACACTAGACACTAAGTGGACGGTAAATAAGGATGGAAAGATCTCCTTGCTGAGAATCAACCTGCCTCAGAGAGAGGGGGAGAGCTGGGGGGGAGAAGTTCTCTGAAATTATCTGCTCAGGAAGCTCAAGACCAGGAGCTCAAATACACCCAGGGCTCTGAGTCAGAAATCACAGTGCTCTCCTGAAACCAATGTTGTACTGTATGTTAACGAACTAGAATTTAAATGAAAATTTGAAGAAAAAAAATAAACAAAAATTTAAAAAAGGAGGGCGCCTGGGTGGCTCAGTTGGTTAAGCGACTGCCTTCGGCTCAGGTCATGATCCTGGAGTCCCGGGATCGAGTCCCACATCGGGCTCCCTGCTCAGCAGGGAGTCTGCTTCTCCCTCTGACCCTCTTCCCTCTCGTGCTTTCTATCTCTCATTCTCTCTCTCTCTCAAATAAATAAATAAAATCTTTAAAAAAAAAAATTTTTTTTAAAGGAAAAAGGGGGCACCTGGCTGACTCAGTCAGTGGAGTGTGCGACTCTTGATCTCAGGGTTGAGTCCACGCCCCACACTGAGTGTGCAGATTACTTAAAAATAAAAATCTTAAAAAAAAAAAAAAAAGAAAGAAATCAGTGCTGTAGTAATATGCAAGCTCTCCAGTGCTAGGGGGAAAGGGAGGCTATTTCCAAAAGTCCCAGTAACTTGGTTTGTTGTAGGACTTGGCCACCATGCTAGGCACCAAGGAGTTTCCAGGTATCAGGACATATGTGTTCACCTTACATGGAGAAGGCTAAAAAGGAGGGGAGGGGAGAAACAGGGGGGCTAACCTACAATGATCCCCTATACTCCAAGAGAACAGAAATATGAAGAATGAAGTCCACTTACCTGAATTAATTTCATAGCAATGAGGCGGAATCCCTTTTGCTCAAAACGCTTGATGATCTCTCCCACAAGGCTGCGCTGGACCCCATCAGGCTTGATGGCAATGAAGGTGCGTTCACTGTTGGCCATGGTCCTGAGGATAAACAGCTGGGAGGATGAAACAGCACTGAATATCCTGCCTACATCATTATCCTTCTCAAGCGGATTACCCCATAAATCTGGTTTAAATCTGTCATCCCAACTCCAAGTCTCTCTGGTAAAAACCCAATTCCTAGTGTGTTCACCACACTGTGTTACTTTGAAGACACATTTTAAAGATATATGTATAAACACCGTTCCTACAATGGTAGCTGTATATGCCCATAAAAATAGTGTGCTATAGGGACGCCTGGGTGGCTCAGTAGGTTGAGTGTCCAACTCTTGATTTTGGCTCGGGTCATGATCTTAGGGTTGGGGGATCAAGCCCTGCAATGGGCTCCTCACTCAGTGCAGAGTCAGCTTCAGATTCTTTCTCCCTCCCCCTCGGCCCCTCCCTGCTCAGGCGCGCCTGCTCTCTCTCTCTCTCTCTCTCTCTCTAAAATAAATAAATAAATAAAAAGAAAAAGAAGAGTGCTGCTATTGCTGTGTATGAATGTGTTCACCACAAGGTGCTGCACTGAAAAAACTCTGGGATAGCACATGTATAAAAAATGTTCCGAAGGGGGGAAAAAAAGACTTTTCCCTAAGCAAAAAAAAAAAAAACAACAAAGCAAAAACAAAAAACCCAATTTCTCCTGAGTCCCCTTATCCCTGAACTAATATCCCAGGATGGGCAAGGATCCAAAAGCAGGGGCTATTATTTCTATCCCATTTGACTTAAAAGCTACTATTAAGCATTTATTTTGGTTTTTTGCTTGTTTGTTTTTAAAGATTTTATTTATTTATTTGACAGAGAGAGACACAGCGAGAGAGGGAACACAAGCAGGGGGAGTGGGAGAGGGAGAAGCAGGCTTCCCACGGAGCAGGGAGCCCGATGCGGGGCTCGATCCCAGGACCCTGAAGGCAAACACTCAACGACTGAGCCACCCAGGCGCCCCTAAGCATCTGTTTTGTACCCAATACTGTGTCAGAACACAGATGTTAAAAAAAAAAAAAGACACTGTCTTTGTGAATTATTCAGAGAAGGGAAACTACAGTGATAAAGAGGGGTCAGGTCTAAGGTAGAACAAAACAGTCTGACCTACTGCCACAATCATGGTATTAGAACTGGAAGGGGTTTTAGAGATTATTTCGTTACAATCCTCTTCATTTTACAAACAAACAAATCTAGAGCACCAGAATGAGGTCCAAAATCCTGATTTCCCAACCCGATACAATTTATGCTACAACATAAGACATAATGAACATTCAGACAAACCGGTAAAAGGTGGATGGTGGGAGAACTAGAGCCGTTAGTAATAGCTGAGATGGGACATCATGCAAGAAAGAGGCCTAGAGAACGTCCATCCCAGACCTTGCCTTTTACAGAGAAGACCGGGCTCATGACCTGCTCTGGGCCTCCACAAGACGGGGAAGGAGGAGGCCCCTGACCTTGAAAGACAATCCCTAATGGGGACAGCCACACCACCTCCTGGCTCTATCTTCCCGAACTTTAGTTAACCTCTTATTACAGCACCTTAATATATTTTCATTTGTTTGTGTTTCTGTCCCCCCACTGGTCTGCGGCCTGTATACAGGGACGGTTTGTTCCTGTGTCTGTCCCTGGTACCTAGCCACACGGCCTAGCATTTAGTAAAAGCAAAGAAAATGTCCTGAGTCGTAATCGCCCTGCTCCTTCAAGAAAAAGAGACAAAACCCAAGGACTGGCGAAGAACTCCCAACGGAAGCTCGAGACAAGCACGGATTCCCCAGGAGAAAATGGGCTAACAAGCCACAAATACTCTCTATACTCATACCATTTATACTATAAATGTCCTCCATACCTACCGAGACACACACACACATTCATTCATTCATTCATTCACTCATTCAGCAAGAACTTACTGAGCCCCAACTCCGTGCCCAGCACTGCACGCGACAGAGACAAATAAAGCACAACCCCTGTCGTCGCGGCCTGATGGGAAAGGCAGCCACGGACAAAAGCAAGTCCACGTGGCGTGGGACGTGCGCTGACAGGTCTGCACCTGTCCACCGGCGCTGCCCCGCCCTGCCCTCCCATTCGATCCCTCTGGCCACCTCTCAGAGCGGAATTCATCCAACCTCGTCGCCTCCCCCCTCCCCCGATCCCAGTGTCTCCCCTTCTTCTCAGGACCCCAAACCCCTCTCACCCCTCCAGCTGCTCCGGCTGCAACTCCTCCAGGGGCCGCCGGCACCGGAAACACGCCCCGGCCCCACGTGGTTCCTGGCACCCGCAGGCGCGGAACGCTTCTTTCCGGATCGGCTGCCGGGGAGTCCGTTTTGCAGAACACCACTCGGCCACACTTCCTCTTGGGAGTCGGATGTCATTCTAGAGAGCAACATTCCGATGTTTAACTTCCGGCACTGCTTTTTCTGGCTCTTCCGGCACGCTGCTTTTTTTTTTTTTTTTTTTTTTTTTGCCTAAGCTGCTCTCAGCCATATCTTTCGTTCTTCAGTAAGCTAGCTTCCTGCGAGGTGGCGCTCCCACTTTGCACGAAGTCCGAACAGGCACCTGACCTAGAAATAGACAGGTCTTTCTCACTTTACATTTACTCATTCTTCCCAGCCTATCAAACACTGCATTATTAACTGAGTACCTACTGTGTGCCGGGCACTATTCCAGGGCCTGAGAGTATAGCAGTAAACTCTCTCGGAGGTTTTGGTGGGGTTGGAAATGGGGACAAAGAATAAACAAATGAGCAAATTGATATGTAATACATTGCATTATGTTAGTGCTGTTAGGAAAACGCAGGGCAGGGGTGCCTGGGTGGCTCAGTTGGGTAAGCAACTGCCTTCGGCCCAAGTCAGGATCTCAGGATCTCAGGGTACTGGGATCGAGCCCCACGTGGGCTTCTTGCTCATCAGGGAGCCTGCTTCTCCCTCACCCTCTGCTGCTCCCCCTACTTGTGCTCTGTTAAATAAATAAATAAATAACCTTAAAAAAAAAAGAAAAGAAAACGCAGGGCAAGGGAGAAAGACAGAAGGCGTAAACAATTTTAAAAGGTTGGTTGGGAAAAGCCTCTCTGACAGTGGAACAAACAGACCTGCATGAAGTGAGGGAGCAAGTCTGGTGTTTATCTGACCGCGGAATATTATTACAGTGGACGTCCAGTGGTAGAAAATGCCATCGAGGAGAGGCCAGGTTATGTTGTGGTGCCACTGGAAGGTTTTGAACAGGGAATGACATCATCTGATACACATTTTTTTTAAAAAAAATCATTCTGACTGCTATAGAATAAATGGGTGGGGGTAAGCTACAAAGTGGAATCAAGTGCCTTTTCAACAACTGGTCCTGGGACGCCGACTGGCTCAGTGCCTAGAGCTCAGGAGTCCTGATCTTGAGGTTGTGAGTTTAAGCCTCAGGCTGGCTGTAGAGATTACTTAAAAAAAAAAAAAAAAATTGGTGCTGAAGGAATTGGACATATGCCGGCAAAGAAAGAAAGAAAAGAACCTCTACCTACACCTCCACCTTAAACAAGATTCATTCAAAATGGATCAGAGAGGGGCGCCTGGGTGGCTCAGTCATTAAGCGCCTTCGGCTCAGGTCATGATCCCAGTGTGCTGGGATCCAGCCCGACACTGGGCTCTCCGCTCCGCGGAAAACCCGCTTCTCCCTCTGCCACTCCCCCTGCTTGTGTTCCCTCTCTCACTGTGTCTGTCTCTCTGTCAAATAAATAAATAAAATCTTTAAAAATACATATATATCTTCGGGGGCAGCTGGGTGAGTCAGTCAGTTAAGCCTCTGCTTTCAGCTCTGCTTTCATGATCCCAGGGTTCTGGGATGGAGTTCTGCATGGGGCTCCCTGCTCAGCGGGGAGTCGGCTTCTCCGTCTGCCCCTCCCCCTGCTCATGCTCCCTCCCTCCCTCTCTCTCTAAAAAAAAAAAAAAAGATCTTCAGGACCAAGGGCCAGGTAAAGAGTTTTTAGACTTGCACAATCCATGAAATGAAAAAGTTGGTAAAATGAACCTTATCGAAATTAAAAACTTTTTCCCTATGAAAGGCCCTGAGAAGAAGATGAAAAAGCAAGCTACAGGGTAAAAGAAAATATTTGCAAACCATGTATCCAACACAGGCCTTGTATCTAGAACATATAAAGAATTTTCACAATTCAACAGTTAAAAAAAAAAATCCAATTAGAAAATAAACAAAAGACAAGAATAGACATTACACTACAGAGGATTTACAGATGGCAAGTAAACACATGAAGAGATTAGCCATTAGGCAAATGCAAATTAAAACCACAAACAGGGGCGCCTGGGTGGCTCAGTTGGTTAAGCATCTGCCTTCGGCTTAGGTCATGATACCAGGATCCTGGGATGGAGTCCTGCATTGGTCTCCCTGCTCAGCCAGAAGTCTGCTTCTCCCTCTCCCTCTGCCTTCTGCCCCTCCCCTCTGCTCTCTAAATAAATAAAATAAATAAATAAATAAATAAATAAAATCTTAAAAAAACCATACACACACAATGAGATATCACTACACACCTATCCTAATGGCCAAACAAAAAAAGTAGGAGCACCCCACTGGCTCAGTGGGTAGAGCATGTGACTTTTTTTTTTTAAGGTTTTTTACAGGTTTTTATGGGAACATGTATTTTCTTTTTTTTTAATTTAAATTCAATTAACATATAATGCATTATTTGTTTCAGGGATACAGGTCTGTGATTCATCAGTCTTATATAATACCCAGTGCTCATTACAACACATACTCTCCCCAATGTCCATCCCCTAGTTAACCCCATCCCTTCACCCCTCCCCTCCAGCAACCCTTAGTTTGTTTCCTATGATTAAGAGTCTCTTATCTCCCTCTCTGGTTTCATCTTGTTTCATTTTTTCCCTCTCTGCCTTGTTTCTTAAATTCCACATGTCAGTGAGATCATATGATAATTGTCTTTCTCTGATTGACTTATCTCGCTTAGCATAATCCCCTCTAATTCCATCCATGTCATTGCAAGTGGCAAGATTTCCTTTTTTGATGGCTGTGTAATATTCTGTTATACACACACACACACACACATATACATACCACATCTTCTTTATCCATTCATCTGTCGATGGCCATCTGGGCTCTTTCCATAGTTTGGCTATTGTGGACATTGCTGCTATAAACATCGGGGTGCACGTACCCCTTCAGATCCCTACATTTGTATCTTTGGGATAAATACCCAGTAGTGCAATTGCTGGATCGTATGGTAACTCTATTTTCAACTTTTTGAGGAATCTCCATACTGTTTTCCAGAATGGTTGCACCAGCTTGCATTCCAATGAGTGTCCAATTCTTGATCTCAGCTCAGGTCTTGATCTCAGGGTCATGAGTTCAAGCTCCATGTGGGGCTCCAGGCTGGGCTCCATGCTGGGCTTGGAGCCTACTTTAAAAAAAAAATGAAAAAAAAATATAGTGACAGTGCTGCTGGGGAGGTGGAGAAACTGGATCCACTCATACACTGCTGGCGGGAATGTAAAATGGTATAGCCGTTTTGGAAAAGTTTGGCAGTTTCTTATAAAACTAACCAGGCACTTACCATCTGACCTAACAATTGCCTTCATTCGTGTTTATTCCAGAGAAATTAAAGATTTATGTTCTGTTCACACAAAAAGCTGTACACAAATGTTCCTAGCAGCTTTATTTGTCCAGTCCAAAGACTGGAAACAACCCAAATGTCAATCAAGTGGAAGTTTAAACAAACTAGGGTCCATTCATCCATACCATGGAATACTACTTAACAACAAAAAAAGAAAAAAAAAGCTATTGATAGCAACTTGGATACATCTCAAGGGAGATTATGGTAAATGAAAGAAGCTAATCACAAAAGATCACATACTATATTATTGCATTTATATAATGTTATTGAATTCACAAAATTTTAAAGATAGAGGATAATTAGGGATGTCCGGGAGTTTGGGATGGGGGACAGGGCATGGGAGTATTCCTAAAGAGGTAGTAAGGGGGAGTCTTAGAGTGATGGACTACTTCCGTATCTTGATTGTGGTGACAGTTACATGAATCTACACATGTGAAAAAGTTGCATAGAACTATACACACACAGAAATGAGTGCATGTAAAATGGATGAGATCTGAATAAACTCTGTGGATTATACCAATGTCAATTTCCTGGTTTTGATATTGTTCTATAGTTATGCAAGATGTTACCATTAGAGGACAGAGGGTGAAGGATACATGGCACTTCCTTGTACATGTATTTTTTTTACAACTTCCCATAAACCTTTTCTTTTCAGTGAGCTCTATAGCTCTACATGGGGCTTGAACTCATGACCTTGAGATCAAGAGTTACACACTCCACCGAATGAGCCAGCCAGGCATCCCACAACTTCCCATAAATCTATAACTATTTCAAAATTTAAAACATTTTTAAAGCGACACTGGCTTAGTCAGAAGAATGTGCAACTCCTGATCTTGGGGTGGTAAGTTCAAGCCCCACGTTGGGTATAAAGACTACTTAAAAAAGAAAAGCTTAAAGGGTACCTGGCTGGCTCGCATCGGTAAGCATACAACTCTTGACCTCGGGGTTGTGAATTCGAGCCCCATGTTGCGTGTAGAGTTTACTTAAAAATAAAAGCTTAAAAAAAAAAATGAAGAAACTTGAAAAAAAAATTTTTTTCTTTAAACAGAATCAGGAAAGCTGATTGAGACTACACTGTTAATCCAAGTGGGAGATGCTAGTGGTTTGGAATATGTGATGACAAAGGAGAGAGAGACAAATGGTTAGTTACAGGATATATATTCAAGGTTAAGCCCATAGGTCTTACTGATGGATAGGCTATGCAACATGAGGGGAAAAAAAATAGACATTGGCTCCTAGTTTTCTTTCTTTTTTTTTTTAAGATTTTATTTTAATTTTTTAAAGTTTTTGTTTTGTTTTGTTTTGTTTTTTACGATTTTACCTTTAAGCAATCTCTACACCCAGTATGGGGCTCGAACCCACAACCCTGGAATCAAGAGTCGCACCTTCCACTGACAGAGCCAGCCAGGTGCCTCCTAGTTTTCTTTCTTTTTTTTTTTTTTTTGGAGAGGGTGCATTCAATAACAGTTCAATAGTTATCTACAAAGTTTCTTTATAAGTCGTTGGGGTCCACCGCACTAGTGCTTCTTAAAACTTGTGTACAAACAAATCACATGGGGAACTGTTAAAATGCAAATTCTGATTCAGTAGGTCTGGTGAAGCCTGAGAGTTGGATGATTCCAATGTTGTTGACTGATAGACTCTA